GATGCCTAGAGCTCTACTTCCAGTCCCTACAACCCCTGCTTTAGAGCAGGCTTGGTGCCTCTGCCCAGACAAACTTCCCTCCCCTTCTACTCCCTCTGTCTAAAACCCTCTCCTGGCACACCAGGACCTCTAAGCTCCAAGGTCCAGTCTCTGGCCCAGCTCTCTAATTCTCTCCAGTGTCCACACACAACTCCCTGAAATCTCCAAATGCACCATGCTGTCCCCTGGCTCTGCACCTTGGTACAGCTGTCCCCGGCAGGGAATGCAACTCTCCTCATGCTGTCACAGTCGTGCTGCTCATTCCCCACCCAATGCCATTGGGACCACCTAAGCACTCCTCCTTGTGAAGCCTTCCCAGAGTCCCAGATCTGGTTTCCACAGCTCCTGTGACAAGTGTCTGTTGCAGCACCCAATGGGAACTCTCTGTGAGCAAAATCTGATTCTCTGCTATTCCCCACTTCCAGCACAGGGCCAGGCAGAGAGGCTATCAGGAGATGTTGACTGAATAAGAAAAGGCAAGAAGGAAGGAAGGAAGGAAGGAAGGAAGGAAGGAAGGAAGGAAGGAAGGAAGCAAGCAAGGAAGGAAGGGCGGGCACAAAGGCAGGCAGGGCAGCACTGCTGTCCAAATTGACAGAGGAAGAGGATGCTGAAGCCTCAGTAGGGACAATTTGCTCAGAGCCACAAAGCCAGGATCTGGGTCCTGTACTCTTTCACCTATTCCTCAATTCCATGATCCATCTATACCTGGAAGGCTTCCCTAACACCACCAGCCACCTTTGACCTTTCCTTTCTCTGAGCTCTCTACCCTGAAGTCCAAAGCTCTGGGAGTGGTCTGGAGGACCATCTGTAGCTACTTCTTCCAGTACCCCCCCCCCATGCCAAGCCAGGATTATGGCCAGCCAGGGCAGGGGTCCTCAAGGCCAACCCTGGACTCGGAGTCCCCAGTTAAGGCACTTTATTGGCACAGACCACCAAGGCCTTCATTATCTTCCTTATTCTGTCTCCATCAGTGCAGCCTCCCAATCCCAGCCTAAGGTTAAGATGGGGAAACTGAGCCTGAATAGGGGCACAGGAAAAGCTTGTACCTGCCTCACCTATTCCCAAGCTCTAAGACCAGTTAACTGCCACCCCTGTCACCACAGATAAAAAAACAGACCTAGGAAGGGTAATGTACCCCAAGGTCACACAGTGAGGACTGGGCTCTTGCCCAGAGAGGTCCCCTCCAGGGTGCCCTCCCACAATGACAGAGCACAAGGAGACCCAAGGACAGAGAGTGAAAATAAGTTGTGAACCCCAGGGTGCTAGACACCACAGGCCCACAGATTAGGTTCCATGTCTGCTCAATAGGGTTAATAAGCCCTGCTCTACAGGACAGTTGTGAAGACTTGATGAGAAGACATACTGTAAGCACCTGGCCCTGTCACCGCCTTCCCCAGAACCCTTTTGAGTCCTGTAGATACTTGAGAGATGGAGAGTGAATGAGGCTCTGAGCAAGGCATAGAGAATGAAGCCTGTGGTGTGGACCCTGAGAAGGCTGGGGGGATGGGGCACCATCGCTTCCTCCGAGGGAAAGGGGAATGGATGCAGGACTAGAAGTCAGAGGAGATAGGTCCCACTGCCCACTTTCCTATTGGCAAGAAGAACTTCAGGGTCTCCGCCATACTCCCCCAAAAGACCTTCCCCACCAGCTCTAACCTCAAGCCCCTCAAGGTTCCTGCCCACCCAGCTTGCTCCTCCTGCAGGCCCAGGCTCCCAATAGGCCCAACCCCCGCCTCTGTGAACATGGCACTGAGTTCATAAGTCCTTGGAGTTAGGAGGACTCAGTGCACAGATGGACAACTGACATGCTATGAGATGAACAGGGACATGCCTATGGTCACACAGCAAGAGGACATCACAGTCAGGACTAAACCTGAGTTGGCCCTGTTTGAATGACTAACACAACCTCCAGGCTTCCCATTTCTCATACCACTAAGGGTGTCGTGGGAAAGCAGGCCTGGGCTTTGAGACCTAGGTTCAGGTTCCAAGCTGTCCTCTGCCTGTACTCAGGATCCATGTGCAGTGTCTGTCTCTGGTCCAGGTCCTGGACTCTCAGAACCAGTATTGGCCTCCTGTCCAACCCCAGAGCACAGTACAGGCCTGGGGCCAGGTCAGGCTGGAGGCCAGGAAAGAGGTGGCTCCAACAGCCCTTTTCCTTCATCCAGGTTTCTACAGCTGGGCACAGGAGTAGCAGAACGAAAAGAAAATCAATCAGGTAAATAGATGGAGACACAATGTCTCTGTCATGAGCACCAGGCATGTCCAGGGGCAGCAGAAAGGGGAGGAAAGGGGAAAGAAGCTCAAAACACACCTATGGTTGAGTTCCAGCCTCCTGGAGTGACCCAATCATCCCCAGGACACTGGCTTCCACCTGCTGGATGACCTTGGCAAGCCACTCCCCTTTGTGGGCTTCAGCTTTGTCATCCATCAAACAAGAAGGGAATGATGAGAACATCATGTCCTTCACTCCTTCAAAGAGTTATTGATGGGATTAAAGGCCACAGTGTTGCCTAAGGACATGAGTCCATGCAGACAGGGGCAGGAGATCCAGGGTTAGGCTGGCCTGGGCTTCACTTCTGCAGCAGTTGCTGTGTGACCTTAAGCAAGTGACATTGCCTCTCTTAGCCTCAGTTTCTTTGACTGTAATAAGAAGAAAAGCCTACTACTGCCCAAGACTGGCCTGAAGGTAAACTGGATGATGAAAGAAATGCCAGGTCAAAGCAGAGGCTCTTATCAGAAGTAGGATTAGCTGGGTGGTGCCCAGGAGTCCTGGAATCAGGAAGCTCAGAGTTCCAACTGCTGTGCCAAGAGAACCAGAAATAGGGGTTGACTCCTACAGATGCCCATAACCAAGATGCCAGGCTCTGCTTACCTCCTCCACTGTGGGGAGCAGAACTGGTGGGAGGGGGGCATCAGGGGAGGGAGCAAAGCAAGGGAGTTAAACAGGGAAGTTAGATATATGTGGCTCTAGGCCTGCTGTGCTGGTACTTGGTTGTGTGACCCTGGGTGGACTCCTGGCCCTCTCTGGGCTTTCAGTATCCTCCTCACCTGCAGCTCAGTGTTGACAGGAAAAAATATGAAACTGAGTTTGCAAAGTGTCCTCTGGCACTTCTAGCCTCTGCTCAGTCTCAGAAGGAAGTAGGATCAGAGTCCTGGCTGTTGGCCCACAAACCCCAGTTTTTCCAAATCCCTTTCACTTCCAAGGAAGGCCACCTGACAAGTCTGATCTGGCCACAAGGGGTCTGCTGTGACAGCCTGCCCCCAAACCTGCTACCTCTAGTCCTGGGCTGGGTTAGGTTTATTCATTAACCAAGCCAGATGGAGGAGACCCAGTCAGCCCTGTTGACAGAGGGTAGGTGTACCTTCCTTCTCCTTCTCTCCTCTTCCCTCTCCTCCTCTCTTCTCTGGAAAGCCAGCCTGACTGGGAGACTACACTTGCACACACACACACACACACACACACACACACACACAGCCAACCTTAAGACTTTGTCAGGTCACAGTCAGGTTCCCTTGTAGCCACTTTGCTCACCTTTCGTTCAGTTTGTTTCTTAGTGCCTTCCTCTTTTCTTTAACCAACATCCTGGCCCTCGTGCACTGGGTGCTGTGGGAAAGACAGGACCTGTCTCTAAACTCAGACAGCACAAAGCTGGAACCTACCAGCTGCTCTCCCCTTGCCTGCTCCTCCGGCTTACACTCAGGTCAGGCCCTTGAAAATCCCGAGCCCAACTGTGCAGAGACCTAGAGGGGCAGATACACATAGAAACCCAGAGAGAGAGAGACAGACGGGCAAGGTGGATGCACAGTCAGAGAGAGAGAGAGAGAAAGAAAGGGAAGGTAGAAAGAGCAAGCCAGTCATTGGGACTGCAAATGATTAAGGCACGATGAGGCAAAAAGGGTCTAGGAAGAGGTCAAACAGCACAGGTCCTAGCATGAGGTCAGGATGCCTGAGATATGTCAGAGACCATGTATCAAGCAGGAGAGGGGCCTTCTTAAAAAGAGTCCAGCATCCTGGCACTGGCAACATGAATGCAATCCCCATCCACTCCAGGAAGACAGCAGAAAGGAGACGGAGGCAAGGGAAACGGAACAAGGGCACAACATACTGCAAGGAGCCCTCTGACTGTCACCTTTGAAATGTAGCACTCAAAGCAATGCCAAATATCCAAAGGCCAGCTACTGAAGTAGCCCTTAGACCAGAGTCTTCACCAGCCTCTGACCCAGCTGTACCATCAAACCCCAAGCCTGCCTGCTCTGGCACAAAAAGTAAACACATGGGGTTGTGAGGAGTGGGGGCCACGGATGTGAGTGGCTGATATGTCTGCCCTGCTCCCTCAGCTGGCTTCCTGACCACTTTTTCCCTTGTGTCCTGCCCCCAGGCCCACCCCATCCCTAGCAGCCTCTTGTAAGCCTTGCCTTTAGGACCTGCCAGCCACATCCAGAGCACCTACCAGAGACTGGAGGAACAGCCAGGGAGGGAAAAAGAACAGCGGGGGATCTGCCAGGAAGCAATCAGATCCTTGGCACCCAAGGGTGCATAGAATAAAGCAGGAGATTCAACTCAGGCTGACATGTCCATCCAGGAATTCTGGAGAAAGGGAGCCAACCTCCTGCCTGGGGTGATTCAACTCACGGGCCAGATAAGGCTTCCTAGGTTGGGGTTCCCCAAGGGAGACCACTCTCCTATAGAGTCTTGGCCACAGCCCCTCTTCTTCAGTGGACAGGGTCTCGCCCCATGCCCAGGTTTCAGCTGATGGGGGTACAGTGAGTCATATCCTTCTCCAGGACTTAACTGGCCCATCTGTGCTAAGGGGCTTGGCCCAGCAGACTGTCCTTCCTCCTGCAGGAGACTTTTGGGGCCAAGTGCACCACAAATGTTTGTGGCTGGGAGGCAGGACCAGAAGACTGCCTGAGAAGCAGGATGGGTGCAGTGGGAGCTGCAGGTCGTAGAGCAACCTTACCTTGATCTTGTGCAGAGTTCTGTCCATCTCCACTGCCTGCACCCACACAGACACACCGGCCTTGCTGTAGGTCAGGTTCCAGCCCACCTCGGCCTCACACTCTGACCGGAAGCTTTGGAAGTCCTGGTCGTCAGGCACCTGCACACTTTCACGGCCCAGGACTGGCCGAAGCCCTTGGGGCTCTGTAGAGGCTGTTGGCTTCTCCATGGGAAGCGTGGGCAGGCCCGGCGCGCTGGTCCTGGTCCGGCTCTCCTGGGTCCTCCGCGGAGGCTCCGACTACGTCGACGCGGCTGCAGATGCTGACGCCACCTTCCTGGGACCTGCAAGACCGGTTTGGGGACGACAGTCAGCGCGCTGGGGGCGCGGGTGGGGCTTTCCGGGGTCCTGGACTGGCGGAGAGAGAGCTGGAGGTAGCCAGGGGTCCCCACTCCCCGGGCGAGGACGATGGCACGAGTCAGTCACGGGCCGCCCCGGAGGAGCGACTCGGGAGCTCCCGGCGCCGGCGAGGGGCTGCGGCTCTGTGCGGGGCGCCCGCGGGGGCCTTGAGGACCCGAGGACCCGAGGTGACGGCGCTCCGGCGGGAGCTCGGCGCGACGACGGCCGGACCGGCTCAACTAACTCCGCAGCGGCGCGGGCGCGGGATGCGCGTGGGCAGCGCGGCGCCGGGTCGCTCACCTGTGTCCGCCGCTCCGCCGGGCCGCCGGGGCCAGGGTGCGAGCGCGTCCTCCGCCGCCGCTGCCCGGCGACCGGGGCCGCGCGGGGGCTCGGGGGAGGAGCAGCGGTCCCGCCGCCCGGCCCCGCCCCGCCCGCGCCCCCCGCCCCGCGCCCCGCGCCCCCCCTTCCCCTCCCCCTCCGGGCTCCGCTCGGGGCTCCCGCTCCCGCGCCGCCTCGGTATTTTCCAGGCTGCGGAGGTAAAGCTGACAGGGCTTCGAGTCCCGCCCCGCCCCGCCGGGTCCTAGCGCCCGGCCCGGAGGGGACCCGGCGGGGGAGGGGGGCAGTCCTCGGGCAGAGGGACTAGAGGACCGGACAGGGGAGTGTTTGGCCAAGATAAAGCGGGCTCTCGGAGGAAATGCGCTGAGGTGCTAGGGAGGGATTTTGGAAGTTAATTGTGAACCCTTCCTCTGCCCCCGCCCACCCCCCATAGGTGCACACCACTGCCACAACCTATTTGCACACTAGCACATGGTCCCCAGAACACTTCACAGATCCAAAAGTGGGCGCACACCCCCACAGACAGTCAAGAGACCTGCTGGCTAGGATGACAGCCCCAAAGCAAGTCACTTGGGCTCACAGTTTGCAATTCTAACGACCTAGGGGCACACCAAAACTAAACATACCCAACCCAGTGGAGTGTGCAAACTCAGTTGGAAGTTGGCCCAACTAACTTCAAGGTTCAAGGTTCACCGGCCAGCCAGACTTGGGGAAAATCGCCACTCGAGTCTCATTTCTACCTGGGCGTTTTACCAGGATTCTTCCTGACTTGTATCATTGTCTACAGTGCTGCCTCCCACTCCTAGCTCATCAGCACACACAGATCTCCCAGGGACTAGATTAGCTCCACAAGTGCATCCAGCTCTAGTGCCCTGGGGCTCCCCTGTCCCTGTCCAGGCAGAGCTGGCCAGAGCCGGCCACTACTGCACTGCCTCTGGACAGATTTGTCAGCCAGCATTCCAGCCACCCCTTCCAGGCTGGGAGGTGGCCACTTGGCCTCTGGGTCCTAGTGCCAGCTCTGCCTCCATCTACTCTGTGTGATCTGAGGCCAAGAGATGAACTTCTCTGAGGCCAGGCAAGATGAGTATGGCAGCCTGTCCCTGTGACTGACTGGCCCTGGGCCACAAAAGGGCAGGAAGAGCTGTGGTGAGTGCCTCTGGATGGGCAACCAAGAGGGCCTAATAAGACTCTGCCACTGGCTCCTTGTCAGCATGATTCCATGGCCATGTGACCAGAGCTGAGGCCAAGACCTCCTCTATCCAGGACTTCTTGCTCTGCCTGACTGCTCCTCCCCATCTACAGGAGGGAATCAAAAGGCACCTGCTAGCCTCTGTCATCCAGAGCTTTAGGGTGGAATAGCTTTTGTTATAGGTGCTAAGAGAGAACTGAGGAGTCAGCATGGTGGGTTCAGAAATAGAAGGGTTTCTTCTTGAAGTACTCAGACCTCTGAGATGTTTATAAATCAGGCTCAATTTTTTAAATGCTATAGAGAGCAGAGTCATGACAGCAAGGGACTCCAAAGGGCATTCTGCAAAGCGAGTCCTATCAAATGAGGTCCCTGTGAGGTCTACATGATGGCCTTAGAGCTCCCTGCCTCCCATCTGCAGTGTGGGAAGTGGAGTTAGATTATCACCTCTTCTACACTCACACTCTTCAGAAGTGTCTGGGAGTGAGTGGTGGCAGCGGGAATGGCACTCAGTGTGGGAGGCCCGGGCTCTGACTATCCAATCAATAGCCTCTGCCCCTGGCCCAACTCTACACAAGTCATTGCTTTCCCCAGGCTCAGTGATTCTATTCTGACACTTCCTTCTGGGCTGGTGGGAGACCCAGAGGCAACATCACCAGAGCCCCTAACAACTGCTTTGTGAGCTGTAGACTCTGGGATCAGCCACATGGAAAAGAGATGGCAGCACTAGCCTGGTGCTTCCTGCCTTGAGGGCCCCAGTAACACACATCCCAGTGAACAGGAGGCACCAAAGTACTACATCTCTCGTGCCCACTGTTCAGTCCAGGGAGAAGATGAGGCTAAATGACAGCAGGAGGGGGCAGAGAACACAGAATGATCCACTCACCCCAGGGAGCGAGCAATCTGAGGAAGTACAGAAGGCAAGAACACACACATCCACACACAGATTAGTCAAAATGAATCTTCTGGGTCTTCAGCTCTGGGGTCATCTCCGCATCCTGGGTTGACGTAGATTAGCTGACCAGGGAGTGGGCAGAAAGGCAGCACTCCATCATACTCACTCGTGTGCCCTCGCAAGGCCTCCTTCCCCCAGGAATTCAGACAACCCTGGCTCCACTGCTTTTAACAGTCTCTTGAGTGTGACAAGCAGATCCACAACCCTGTCTCATAACACCCCTGAGCAGCAGAGATAAGGGTTGCTACAAAAGAGTAGACAAGTAACCCAGGAGGGGTAGCCTCTGGAGAGGAATCCTAGGACCAAGCCACCTCTGCTTCCTACTGCCTGGCCATAGAACTGGGTTCAAGTCCTGGTTCTACCACTTCCCAGCTGTGGAACCAGAAACACGTGCCATGCCCTTTCTATTTCCTCATCTGGAATTATAATGCCTTTCGAGAATTAGTGCAATGAAGAGTTGTATAGATGCCAGTTTCACACCTAGATAAGTAGCCTGAAATATAACTGGAGGGTGGTGCAGGGCAGGGAAGAATGTATTATTAAAAATGTGTGGTTCCAACAAAAAGCATTAACATTTTGATATGTTTAGTAAGATTCCCATGAAAAAGTAAACAGTGGAAAAATTTGGCAAAGCCCGACCTCTGCTCTGTCCATTCAGCTCTCTGCCCCAGACCCAGAGCCCCTCCCCACTAGTGGATGGAGGTGCCTCTGTGAGCTCCAGGGCAGAGCTCAGGTCTGGCTCTTCTCTTGGTCCCAGTTCCAGAAAGGTATCACTCACTAGGAGCAGGGGTGGGTGCAGAAGGTGAGAGTGTATACAATAAGGTGCTTAGAAAACTGAGAAGCATCTTGGGAGTGTGAGGAGCCATTACCCAGAGTGCTGAGCAAGTCTGGGTCTTACACATGTCTCTGCAGAGGCAAAGAGAGCAGCTGAGGCCATGGGAGACCCTGAATCACACACAAAAAAATCATAGCTGATTGGAGGATTTCTAGTTCCTCAGAACCATGATTTCAGAAATAGATGCCAGGGGGGTCATTCAAAGATCCCCAGAAGATGGCTTACTGTCCCAGAGAGCTGTTGGACATGCACTAAGAGCACCTACTTGGAGCTACCCTAGACCTGGTCCTTCACATTCCTTCGGGTCCCTGCACCAGATTTAATGTTATCTGGCCCCACCCCTCAGAGGGAGAAGCACAGGCCCAGCTAGCAGATACAAGCAGAAATAAAAACCCAGATCTCCTGGCTCCTAATTTGAGGATCCTGCCCCCTTATACATACCACCCCTTCCACTTACCTGTAGGGAGCTTGGCACAGTCACCACCTTCCCTCAAACTCAAGAATCAGCCTCCCCATAGTGCCTCCCACCCTGTCTACTGTCCTAGACAGTGACAAGTCTGCATGACTTGACTTGTGCCTAGGTGCCACCTCCCCACTCACCATCTAGCCAGACAGACAGATGGTGCTTCAGTTGCCCTCTGAGGAATGAGAAAACCCCCAGCGGCCTTTTCTGCCCCCACCCCTCCTTGGGGGTTACTTTGTGTGCCAGTTTGGGTGGAGCAAATTCCTAGGTTTCCCAGGGAAACAAGGCACCATCCTGAGGGCACTGTTCTAGAAGATGAGACAGTGAATTGTGTGATGTCACCAGGTAGCAGGGTGGACAAGTAAGTTCCATAGGCCCACTGGAAAGGACCTTGGCCTTGAGAGGAACATGTCCCTTACACTGGCAGTAAGAGTATATTCCAGTCCCAACGCATGGACCCGGATCTAAGTGTTTACCCAGGGTGGGTCTCCTGGCCCTGCTGGGCCCCATAAGCAAACAGTCCAATCCTCCCCTGAGACAGCTACAAGAGGCAAGGCCCAGAGAGCTATAGCCACCTAATCACTCACTCAAATCGACTTCTCCTGGTGACACAGTCACAGCCACATACTGACATCCTGACATCCTATCACAGATACATACCGTCAAGATCTCATACCTGTCCAGCCCAACACAAGTACCTGTGTGTATACATAGTCACACACAGCAACAGGGTGAGATGCCAGAGAAAAATACAGGGTGACCAGTGAAATTTTAATTTCAGACAAGCAACACATAACTTTTTATAAATACATCTCAAATATTTGCTAAATCTGGCAAGCTTACACCTGAGGCTCTGCCACATCCATGTCCCACAACCCTGAGGCACCACACAGTCACATACCAGCTCTCACACAGACTCAAGTGTGCTGGCACATCAGGGGAGTGTACACACTGCACCTAAGGTACAGGGGGATGGAGGGTGGGGGAGCAAGCTGTCACATGCGCGTGCACATCCAGCTATGTACTCCTCTCAATGAAAAGACACAGGGTCAGGCTAAGTCTTTCTTCCTCATTTTGTCTCTGCCTCACTGCAGCCTTATGTGGAAGGTTGGACAGAGACTGTTAGCTCCAAAGGACAGCTAAGGGAAATAAAGCCCAGGAAAAAACAGGAGCTATCTGAGGTGTCCTAGCAAGTGGCCCCCTGGGCACAGGAAGTCAAACTCTACCTGGAGCCAGGCTTGTCCCTGAGTTTGTCCAAAACACCCTGGAGATACCCACATCACTCTGGCCAGCAAAGCCTTCCAAAGGAGCTTCAGCAAGAGTAACAGCCTAGGGGCTTGCAGAGTGGACCCTTGACCTCTTCCAACACCAGAAGGAAGATCCTGAGTTCTCCCCCCACCCCCCACCCCCCGCCCCAGGCACTTCTCTTTCCAGGTGAAAAATGTCCTGAGTCAGGACGGTAAAGACTCAGATTTGAGATTAAAGAAGAAACCAAAAAAAGGAAGTTGTATGGGCTACCATAAAGGGGACATTGTTCTTGGGCTGGAATTCTTGCCCATCCTCTTAGAAGATGGCTTAAACAGAGTTGGAGATAGTGGCACACTTCTATAATCCTAGCCCCCGGGGGACTGAGGCAGAAGCACTGCAAGTTCCAGGCCAGCCTGGGCTACCTTATGAGTTCAAGTCAGCCTGAACTACAGAGCAAGACTGTCAAAGAAAAAAAAAAAAAGGCCTAGCTAGACAACCTAAAGATATTCAAGATGTCCCCACCTGCCCAGCCTAAGTACAGAGGCTGCCATAGGAAAGCCTGCAGTAGGCAGATGGATCTAGTGCCTCTGCGAGGGAGTTCCAGGGCTGCACTGACACAGCAATCAAAGCAGCAATCGAACTAAGTTTCTGCAGATGCCATTGTCAGCAGTAGTCCCAGAACATGGGGTAAGGGATCACCCAGGTCTGGGGCCCTCCCTGAGGCAAAGCCCCATGATTCTGCATGACCCATGCCCCCTGCACCTCTCTAGGCCCCTTCTCCTGATACAGTGGTAGTGCTTGGGAGGCTGCCTCCCTCACAGCGCTGAGAGAGGGCCGTATCAGTCTCGAAGTCCTGCATGGTGGTTGGGAGGGGTACATTTCTCCCTCCCCCAAGCCTGGCGGTGCCCTGGACAGCAGGACCTTGCAAAGCCCAGAGGGAAGCTGCCAGGGCTCTGGGTCCAGGGACTGAAAGATGGGCAGGGGAGAATGGGTAATAATGCTGGGTGGGTAAGGTAAAGTGCCCAGCTCAGCAGTCCAGGAAAATGGCTTGAGCCGGGGAGCCAGCCTGTCTGGGTTAGAAAGTCCTACTCAGTGTGTGATCTAGAACACATTGTTTAACCTCACTGTGTCTCAGCTGTTCTAAGATGGGTAGACTAAGAGGATTTCCATTGTTACAATAAGGTAACAACGCTGCATGTCTGGCCCACAGTGAATGATCAATAAATGCCGCAGCTGTGCCAGTTCTTGTCTCCTAGCCTCTTACCTCCTGGTCGGGCTTCTTTTGTTCCCCCTCTTCTGACCTGGGTTGACCTACAGCCTGGAGGGTATGATTATAAAATTGAGGTAGAGGAAGGTGCGATGACATCTTATTCCCCTTTCTCACCTCCTCCACTCCACGAGGAGGTACAAGAGACCTGTCCGGGACCCCTAGGAGGCCTTCACTCAATGGCAGTTGTTCTTTATATCCACATAGCACACTCCTCAGCATCTAACAACTAGAAACCAACATACAGTATGCCCAGCCAGAGGCCAACACAGTACCGAGATGCCCACAGTCCAGGGGCTAATTTCTAGGACTCTATAAAAAGCCAGTGTGGGAAATTTCCTGGGGCTCTTGTCTAAGAACAGAGCTGAAGGCTTTTTCCTGGTTTAAATTTCACTCTGGGGGCAGAATTCACCCCTGGAACAAGCCTACAATAAGTTCAGCTGACATGTGGCACTGCTGTTTGGGGAACTCCTGCCAGCTATTCCTTTCTGCCCTGAGTCCCTGGTGCCCTGGGTCAGTGGGTATCTGGAAGTCCTCCTGGGGGAAGGCTGCATCCTTCAGTACCTTCTAAATTTAGGACTTGGGTTCTGTGAGTCATTCCTGAATCTGCTTTGCTCCCTCCTCTAGGAATGTGCTCCCATGGTATTTTTATCCTCTGCTGCCTCAGACTGATTAATAAGTCCCAGAATCCCACAGAAGCCACACACCAAGAAGAGCGCCGGGCTCCCACTTGCCCAGGTCAGCTCTGGCTTTACTCTGACCAGATCCTATGCTCCTCCCCAATAACTCTTGCCTCCCTGTTCCCACCCTACTTCCAAAACCAGAGCCCACACACCTGGGTGGGGTAGCCTCAATGCGGGCTGGCTCTAAGCAGGACTGTGATGGCCATGAGGGGAGAAGAGTGGAGTGAAGCTTGGATGCTGAGCAGAACATTCATATGAAGTCAGGAAGATTGATTCTGGACCAGCATTCTTTCATCCTCTATGCAAGGGCTCCTGGTGAGATGTTTGTTCATTTCCAGGAGGCCAAGGTTTTCTTTTTCTTTTTCCTTTCAGGATTGAGGATTGAACCCAGGGTCTTTGCATTGAACAACATGCCCAGCCTTTAAAAAATTTTGAGACAGGATCTCCCTAAATTGCCCAGGCTGGTCTTGAGTGTGCAATCGTCCTGCTTCAGCTTTCCAGAATGCTGGGATTATGGGTGTATACCACCATGCCCAACTCTAGGTGAGCTCTCTACTTCCATGGATTCCCTTTCTCCCTCATAAATAAGGGGTTTGAACCAGAATTCTACAAGGGAGACTTGGACTAAAGTTGAAAGTACCACTGAGCCAGGCTTCTAATTTCAAACAAGATGGCACGGGGTGGAGTATCTGATGTCTAGGGCACACTGTTTCCCACTCAGGCTGCCCCCAACTTCTGTTCCAATCAGAATAAATACAGTGCAAGAACCTGTTATCAGCCTTTCTAGACTTCTGACATTCAAAGAAAAAGTCATGCATAATCCCACATTCTGCAGTGGTTGGAAAGAGCCCAAGGTCTTGTCTGGTTTGCCCAGGGCTGTAATGTACAACTTGGGTGGGGGAGTGGATCACCTTAACTCAGAGGCCTCAGATAGTAAGAGAATTGTATGTGTGTGGAGGTGTCAACACTCAGACAGCTCTTCTCTGCCAGGTTCCTGGGGCCAGAAGAAGAGAACCTTGGCCTCTCCTTGACTTGCAGAAATCCAGGCACCATGACACAGCGGGCAGGTAACAAGGAGATGGGCCAGCGTAGGGCTGCTGCATCTCCACTCTGTCTGGCTAGAAGAGAACTCCATCTGCCTCAACTTGTTTTCCCAAGGAACAGCATAGCCAATAAGCACTTCACATGTACCTAGTGTTGTTCTATGCACCAAACAGGTGTTTACTGTTAATTTATAGGTAAACCTCAAGACAACCCTTCATAAAGCTTACCACCCTCACTTTACAGACATCTGGAGGTAGAGAGGGACAGTGACTCACTTCGGATCAGAACATGAAGTCACTGGAAAGCTGAAGAGAAACCAGGTCTGACTGCAGTCCTAGCTTCCATTTGCTACCCCAAAGAGGCTCTTCTCAGAGTATACATTAGACACTCAATAAATGTTTGATGATGTTTGATCACTGCCACGTAATGGAAAGATCCCTATCCTAGTCCAGCTCTACCCCAACTCTTGCACTTCCTTAAGAGAGTTCTTTTCCTTTTTAAGCCTTAGTTTCCCAGGCTAAAAATAGAAAGGGTAAGTGAAGGGCCAGATAATTAGATAACTTGTAGGTGGGGAGGATGTATATCTATAAAAACTCATCTTTCCTGACCCGCCTAAAGAATCCCAAACATCAAGTTTCCCCAGGTCCTAAGCCCCAATAACACTTGAGAGAAACAAACTGCCTACATCTCAGCTCCACTGCCACAAAGAACAGAAAAAGATCACTTCCCTAGTCCGAGTTGCATGATCCTGCAGGTGGCAGGGTGTTTCTACAGTGCCATCTCACTCCTCCATTTGTGCCCATAGTTTCTATAGCCTTACTTTCTCTCATCATCCAGGCCAGCCCTGGTATCACCTCCCAGCACTTGGGAGGCTGAGGTAGGAGGATCTCCACGAGTTCGAGGACAGCGTGGACTACATAGTGAATTCAAGGCCTGAACTACAAAACAAAACAACAACAAAAGGAAGGGCTCCAGGCCCTAAGGACTCCTTCCTCACAGACCGCTGAGTTTTGGGGCAAACCCCTGCTACTTCTGGCCACTCAGTTTTGTAATTTGCTGAAAGAGGAACTGAGTTCCTCCACCATCATCTGACTAGAATCATCATTTCATCTTTATAGACTGCTTGGGAATTATCATTTTCAGCCCCGATATCATCTGACCCTCCCAACAAGGTAATCTCGTTTATAAATAAGAAAGCCTGTGTTCCCAAGGGAACAGAATTACCCGTCACACAGCAAGGCAATGACAGGTTGGGCTACAGTCTTGGGATCCTCCCGATCATTCGCTGGTCTTCTACACTCTGCGACGCTGGGGCTCTGACTTTCTCTGACTTCTGGCCTTATTTGTAAAAGGACAGTGTGAGGATAGAATGAGGAGAGAATAAAAAGGGCTGTGCTTTGGAAACCATAAAGGAAAGTATCACAGAAAGATAAGTGGACTGTTCCGTTACTGCTTATTGCAGTTGTCTTCCCTAAGGCGCCCCCGCGCGTCCATGCAGGGGCGCTCCGACTACGCAGGCGCCCTGTGGTGTTTACGGAAGCCGCGAGGTCTGGTGTTTGCAAGAGCGCTTCTCGCTGCGGGCGCTCCGGGGCACTCTGGCCCTTGCGGGCTGGCCCCTATTCCCCTAGTGATTATAAGCAGGCCGGCACCACTGCTTCCTGGGACCCCATTCGGCATGCGTGTGTCGAGGCGTTTGCACTGCCTCTTAGCTGCAGCGATCTGAGTAGTGAAAGGAGACACTGCGCTGTCGCCTTCGTCCTTCCCCCGATTCCCGCATCTTTCAGTGCTTCGCTCAACCTCAGGTGCAGCTTCTGGTTCCCATCACCGGAAACATGAAAGCTTCGGAGAATCCCACTGGGAGCGCCGAAGCATGGATGCATGGGTGCTGTAGTTCACGGCTAGGACCTTTTGGGACTGGAACGCAGTACAAGTCACATTTCCCGGAAGTCCGAGAGTCAGAGTGGCGGAGGGGCCCGCGGCATGTTGGGAGATGGAGTTTGGGGAACGGAAGAGGGTTTTAAGTTGGTTGGAGGCGCTGTGAGGCTGAGGAGTCAAGGGCTCTGAACCTGGGCAATGGGTTAGAGTTAAGAATTACGCAGTAGCTAGCCTCAAAACCGTAACGTTGTTAGGGCTGTGTCTTAGCAAGAACACTACTGTCCGCATTTTCCACACGGTCCCTCCCCAGCACTTGTGCCAGGTCGAACTCAAAGAGGTGACCATTGCCTTGGGAAACTGTTTTCATCTTACTGCTATTAAATAAACATTTCTGCAGTGACAGAAATGTTCTGTATCTGCGCTATCTATATCTAATATGGTACCCACTGGTGTGACTCCTGAATACTTGACACGACTAAATGCCATGAAGGAATTAAAATTTTTACCTAGTTGAATTTAACTGTAATTGGTTTCAATTAATTTATATTTAATGGCCATCTGTGGCTTGGCCCAGCGTATTGGACCGTTAGTAAACTAGACTGCCTCTCATCCTCAACACAAAAGTCAACCCTCCCACACATCCCACTGTACCCAGGCTTAGTGAAGCTTCCAATCTTGCTGTCAACTCACTGCTCATAACAGTTTTAGCAGATCCCTCCTCCACTGTTTGTCCCTTGATACCTAAAAATTAGTTCAGATTGTAAAATCCTGCCCTTCTGTTCATTAGGCTGTAACAACAGGACCCAGAAAGTCAGCTGTAAAATTAGCAGGAAGTAATGTTTTCCCCCAAGGACATATGACAGCTGTAAAATGTCATAATGATCTCCTGCTTTGAGTAATCATTTTTTTTCCTTACTGATTAGCATCGTTTTCTAAAATCATAGAGGTATCAAAAACTTTGCTATTCAAAATTATATAAACAAGAACGAAACTCTGGCTTGGGAAATCCAAGTCACTAACTGGACAGGATTTACAACCTTGGTGAAACATTCAGATAAGGAGTTGCTGAACATACCTCACAGCTGCTTTAACTTTATTATTTCCAAGAAAATGGGACCGTGGGTCCACTCACTGCCCTACTCTGCTTTGTGCCAATCAAAATATTTCTTTAAGTGTTACCTAATCTATGTGGTTGGCTGAGGCCTAAATAGGCTAAGATGGGAGCTGGGCTGTTGGCCCAAGCCACTGGTGACTCAATAAAAACACTATACCTGATACTGAAGCTGGCCATTGCTATGCTTTCATTGGTGGACAACATGCTGCATTTCAGTGTGCATATTATGCTGCACACACCCATAAATTCCTTCCGGGTATCTCTGGCAGAAGCCAGTGTAGTGATAGGGCTACTAGTCATCACCATCAGCTTGGGCTACTGCACTATCTACAGCAGCCTCTTCCTGGATTTCTCCTTGCTTATGCTCAGAGTTACCTCTCTCAGCTTCCTGTCTGTGATTGTGGACAGCTTTCTGGCCATCATATGTCACTCTGATATAAAACTTTGGTAACTGGGTCCTGAGCAAAAGGGCTCCTCGCTGATCTTTGGGTCTTTGCCTTGGGCCTTGGATTGACTTCATTCCTGGGCTGTAACAGAAAAGACATTACCATCAACATGTCATAGAGAACTAGGATGGAATCATGAATGAAAACTGCTGCTTGTCATGAGTCTCTTAAGAATGTGATCCTAGGGCTGGGGATTTAGCTCAGTGGTATAAGGGCCTGCCTTGCAAGCAGGCAGTCGTGAGTTCAATCCCCGGTACCGATAAAAAGGAAAAAGACAAAAAAAAAAAAAAAAAAAAAAAAAAAAGAATGTGATCCTAAATGGCCTTGGTGGGGCATGCCTGTAATCCCAGCATTCTAGCAGGTGGAGGGGAGAGGATTCTAGAATGCTGTAATCCCAGCATTCTAGCAGGTGGAGGGGAGAGGATTGCAAGTTTGAGTCCAGTCCGGGCAACTTAGTGGCATAGTCCCTGTCTCAAAACAAAAAAGGGGACAGAGTTATAATTTAGTGTGAGTACCTATACAGAAGCAATAAACATATAATTAAAATTAAATAAATATATAAAGTGATCCCATGAACATAATATTTCAATTTACTTCTCCCAGTGCTCCCAGTGTTTGTAATGCTGTTGCTATACACCAAGAACTTCCTGGTGGCCTTGCAAGAGGCTTAGCACACTGACTTGACAAACCACTCAAGGACCACCCTCCAATATGAATATCCTTTAGGTCACGATGCTGGCTATGCCTGGGGATTTTCACTCTGTATTGGTTACCAGGACATGCCATCAACTGTGTCACTCTTTTTTAGCTGGCTTGGCCTAAGAATAAGCCCAAGGGAGCAATTTACATGGGCATTCTGTCACATGCCAATTCAGTCCCATTATCTATGCCTGTTTAAACAGAGACATCTGCTACCCTTCTTACAAATCATCTCCAGGCATGTTCTGTGGCAGGCAGAGATGTCAAGAGTATGAATGGGAAGGATGGTGCACAGCCTGCTCTCAGTGTGGCCCTATGACCTAAGTAGTGACCTCTTCCAGGAGAAGGCACAGATACAGAATAAAGAAGGGACAGGTCACAACTGGCTGGTTGAATTGTGAAAGATAACCCCTTCTCACAAGTGCATTGGTGCCCTCTTTTGAATATTTTCCTGGAGTTTACACATTTATTCTGTGTGTGACATTAGTAGTAGGCGTCAAGGGTGATAAATATATTTATTGTTCTACGCAACTATTCTTACTATGTGGATGATACTGACAATCTGAATGAAAGACTTGTTTTTACTGTGCCTTGGTCATGGGTTTTTTAGGCAGGGCCTCACTATGTAGTTCAAACTGATCTTGAACTTGCTATGTAGTCCAGGCTGGCCTTGAACTCATGGCAGTCCTCCTGACTCAGCCTCCTGAGTGCTGGGATTACAGACATGTACCACCATGTCCAGCTGCCTTAGTAATAATAGAAAATGACTCCAAGTATTTTACTGTGGGATACTGTGAACTATTGTAATGCAAATATGCTTGAACTTACACTAATAGAAAAATAAAAGTTGGTTGTATTAAAAATGCACTTGTTTTTCCTAGAAGAAACTAGAGAGATGAGATTCATCTTCTACCAGATTCCTCTTTCCAGAGTGAGGTAGTGAACTTTATTTATCTGGCAACATTTTGAAGCCTAGAGTGTGAAACTTTTACTAAATAAAATTATACAACTCAGGGGCTGGGGATTTAGCTCAGTGGCATAAGCGCCTGCCTTACAAGCAGGCAGTCGTGAGTTCAATCCCCAGTACCGATAAAAAAGAAAAAGGCAAAAAAAAAAATTATACAACTCTATGTGTACATTAAATGAAATAAAAATAAAGCTGTAGAAAATGTCCCCTAATATCACTCCTCTCTCAAAGCCTATAAAAGCTATCTTTTCCTTTGTGTCTAGTGGGATGCCCAGGGTTTCTATGGTGTGTTTGCTGTCTCATTACAAGGAATCAATAAACCTGACTTCATTAGACTATGTTCTTGTTCCTAGTAGTCTTTGACTGATTGCACTGCAATACCCTGAAGTACTGGTGTCCTCCATGTTTTGTCCTAGCACTTTCTTGACTCTGTACACTTTCTTTGGATGACCTCATTCACTTCCATAAGTGCTTACGACTCCGAGCCCCCAGCCTCAGGTCTTTCTCCTACAATGAGGCCATCTCCCTCTGGTTTACCCACAAGTTCCTTAAATTCAGTGTGTTCAAATCTGAACTCTCTTTGACTCTTTCTTTTGTTGGAAACAAAACAAAACAAGTCACTGCTGTGTTCCAAGTGAGTACCAGGCATTGCTCTGGTTGGGTGGGAGGCTTAAGCCAGATGCCTCTTAACCTGCTACACTCAAACTGCACTAATTCAATCTGCTGTTTTCCAGCTAGCTTATGTCCTAAAACCTTAGAAAGTTGGCAGGATTGGGGCTGGAAGGCAATAGAAACTAGGCATGATTTGCTCTGCCCCTGTCCCTGTCCCTTCAACAAAGGATTGAGCCTCAAGGTGAAGGTCTCACTTGTCTCTCCTTTCTTCTGATCAGGTCTCTCACAGTCCTCTGCCTCAAAATCCATCCAGCAATGTCCTTGCCTCATCCAGTCCCCAGTCTCCTCTCATGCCTTGAAATTTCCCCACCACTTTCCTTCATTGAGCCTGGTGATTTTCTCTAGGGGCCAATCGTGAGCTCAGAGCAGACAGGCAGCGTGCGGCCGGTCTGCTGCTGGTAAAGAGGATGACTGCAGAGGGAGGAAGCTTCTCTTTGGATGTCCCTAGCAGCATTTCTCTCTAATTTGTTCCCTTTTGCAGTGCTGGGGATCAAATGCAACCTCATGCATGCAAGGCAACCACTTAGTTACACTCCCAGCCTTTCCAACACTTTAAAATCAAACACACTTCAACAGCATGAGGGCTTAAAGTCCTTGTGAAACACCCTCTTTTCACTTCATCCCACTCCACTTCTGCCACATCTCATCTACTGAAGAGATTTATATTCCTCTTATTCACATAACTGGGACATGACTTTTAGAATGTTATGGGTTCATCTTCCCTTTTCTTGCCATTTAAAGCATTTTTTTCATATTAGCCAATATTAAAGGATGCTGAAATCATGAGTTTCTCCCCTTGGTGGGCGGAGAAATATAGTTTCAGTCCACACCATTGCAAATGCTATTGTCCGTTTAAAATAATAGTCACTAGTGAGTGAGTACAGGTGGTGTGCGGGCACCTTGGCTTGGGCTACAGTGTGAATGCTGGCATTCTCCTTAAGCTTCGTATGCTGGAACCTAACACCCAATGATAGAAGTGGCAGGTGGGCGTTTGGGCATGATTAAGTTGTGAACTTTCCAATATCATGAATGGATTAGTGCCCGAATAGAAGGTTGAAGAGCTCATTGGCTCTTCCAAGGGAGGATGCAGAGGGAAAGCACCATCTTGCAAGCAGAGAGCAAGCCCTCACCAGACGCTGAATCTGTTGGTTCCTTGATCTTGGGCTTGCCAGTCTCCAGAACTGTGAGCCATACACTTCTGTAGTTCACAAGTTAGTTAAGACTTCATTTTGGCAGCCCAAATGGGACTAAGATTGCTATAGATGAACTCATTTTCCTCAACCCCTGTATGTTTTTAATCTTTTCACACTTGTCAATTGTTTACTTTTTAATTTTAATTATAATATCTAGTGGGCAATTTTTCATGGACATAAATAACTGCTTACCAAGAAACACAAAAATAAATCTGAAAAAACAATTTTTTTTTTGAAAACAGGGTCTCACTAGGTAGTTGAAGCTGGTCTTGTGCTCACTATGTAGTCCAAGCTGCCCTCAAACTTGTGGATTGTTCTGCCTCTGCCTACCAAGTGCTGGGATCAAAGGTGAGTGCCACTATACACAGTTGAAACCTGTACATTTTCTTCAAAATAACTGTTACCAGATTCTTGGATTTTTTTCAGATTCTTGGATTTATCTGGTTCAAACTCATATACAATTCATTCAAATGTCACAAAGACTACAAAACTATGACTAAAAAAAAGAAGAAAATGTAGGCTGGATGATCATATCTCATTTGCTTTTCTGTATACTGAGTATAAGGCCATCCTACCCCCAAGGATGTCATTTGTGAGAATTATTTATAAACAGCAATCTAAACCTTTGATGAATCTAAACTTAGAAACAAAATATTAGCCAGGTGTGGTGTCACATGCCTATAATTTCAGCACTTGTGAGGCTGAGGCAGAAAGATTGCTGCAAGATCTAGGCCAGCCTGGGCTACAAAGTGAGTTCAAGGCCAGCCTGAACTGCATAGGGAACGCTGTCTAAAAAAAAGACAGAAAAAAGAAACAAAATATTAGACACAATAAAAAAATAAATAAACTTGTTGGGTTTCAAGCAGTATAATGAAGTACCTTAGACAGATAGTTCCAATGTCAGGACACTCAGATCTAGCTCCTCCTGTGGACTGAATTAGATTCTGTCTTATGGATATACTGTAATATAAGTAACTGTCCTATCTCACACTGGCAACTGCTGGATCCAGTGGTGTGGGTAATATATCAGACACAGCCAATTGCCTGCCCGAGATATTAAATCACCTCATAAAAAATATAAGGTCACATTCCATCAATGGTGAATGATAAATGCTGTTTCCTTATAACCTCATCAACTTTGTGTAATATTCAATTCTTAATTTTTCCCAGTCAAATGAGTGAAAAACGACTCTCTTTGTATTTTAACTTACATATCATTAGTTATGTGTACTTTTTACTTTTTGTAAAAAAAGTAAAAATTGATTAAAAAATTGATGATTTTTTTATAAAAGCCACTGTTTATTTTTTAATAGGTTTCTATTTAATTGATTTGTGGAAGTTAATGGTACCTTCTGGAATATTACTATTTTGATATGTATGTTGCAAATGTCTTGTTTCTGTCTTTTTTTTTGACAGGGTGCTGAGGGGAGGGGAACCTAGTGCTCTACCACTGAGCTCTAGTGCTCTCTTCCTCTGTTACCTCTCTTTTAACTTCTTTGTGTTTTTTTTTTCTTGAGTGAGGTGATTATTTATTTTTAAAAATTTTATTAGTACATTTGCAGATCTATCTATCTGTATCTACCAACCGATCCAATATAGGGTTTTCATATACATGCCCAGGTTGACCTTGAACTCCTGGCCCCAAATAATCCTCTAGAGTGGCCTAGGATGATAGTTGTGCACCACCACACCTAACTTTGAGTGAGTTTTTTTAAATTGTGCGCAAATATAGGTAACAAAAAATTGTCATTTTAACAATTTTAAAGCGTACAGTCCAATGATATTAGTTATATTTACAGTGTTGTGTGCGTTCATGACTACTTATTTTTTTTTTTTAACAAATACACAAAGTAGGGCTGGGGATTTAGCTCAGTGGCTTAAGCGCCTGCCTGGCAAGTGTAAGGTCATGAGTTTGATCCCTGGCACAAAAAAAAAAAAAAAAAAAAAGAACAAATACACAAAGTAAACAACCACACTAATAATATGATTGGAGGGGCACTGGCCTGGTCTGTACGCATAGGGTGGGGGAGAGGTGCCAGCTTCTACTTGGTTGTTGGGCTGTGTCGCCACTCTTTTTATCCTATGCCTTTTGGGGACAGGTAAGAGCAGGGGGCATATTCATAAAAGAAACCCCTCTCCTTCCTTGCAAAGGGCTTGCTTTGATACTACTAATGGGCAACATTTTAAGTGTCCCCCACATTTAATGCTCCAGCTCTCTGGACTTGTAGAGGGAAGTTACCTGATGCCCTCTGCCCAACCTCCACCGTGTCCTTGCAGGACCTTTCATTCTTTCTCAGGCTCCTCTCTTTTCACCATGGAAATGCAGGTGTTGATTGCCAGTGTATCTGTTCTCTGGTGCAGCAGAAGAAGGATGAAGAATTGGGCCAGAGAGGAGCAGTATGTGGTTAATAGCTGTTCTCTGGCGGATGAGTTGAAAAGCTTACCAGCTCCTGCTCACGCCTTTGCTGAAATACCTTATTTTGCTGTCTGGCTCGGAGATTAGGAGTAAGATGCTCAAGCTCACAGCCGCACCTCCCAGGGTGGCTATGGACCTTCACACCTTCCACAGACTGGGCCATGCAGGAGACAAGCTCTCAAGAAGAACAAGCCTCGCAGGTCTGCTCTCCAGCATGGAATTTACCTTAGTTCAGTACTATTTCAATCGGCCTATAACTGCTGGGCTTTCTTACAGTGATGCTTTTCTTTCACGTTTCTACACTGTTCTCTCCTGACGTCCTCTAGGCTCTTAGCTCTCAGCTGGTAAGATGCAGACAGGGTGTGGAGATTCAGACACCGTCCAGCTGGCAGGCAGAGGGAAACTTGTACTCTCTGAAGCCTGTCATTCCTCCAAGCCTCACACCTCCCCACCACTGTTCTGGGGCCCTGATTATCTGGTTCCACAGTAAGAGGTATTTTATGTCCATAAATTGGTAAGTGCTCAGGCTTCATCTTTTGGCTGTCATGTGAAGAGAATTTTCCTATTGAGTTTGCTTGGCATCTGTATTAATTCTCCAGAGAGACAGAACCAGAAAGATAGATAGACAGATAGAAAGGTAGACAGACAGATAGATGACAGTGAATTTTTTAGAGGAACAGGCTCCCGTGATTATAAAGCTGACGAGGCCATCTGAAAGCTGGGAGCAATTGATGTGGCTCAGTTCAAGTCTGAAGGTCTCAGGACCAGAGAAGCCAGTGGCGTAACTCTTGGTCCAAGTTCAGAGAACTAGGGAAGCTGATGGTATAACACTCAGTCTGAGACTAAAGGCCTAACTTGTTGTTTGAAGATGATAACTGGTAAGAATAGGAGGGCCACTGGGGGCTGTCCTGGAAGGGTGTGTCTCCCTCCCCAGCTCCTCTCTTATCTCTTTCTGCTTCCGAGAAAGAATGATTTTAAGGGTTTTTAATTTTACCAGAAAGGAGTCTTCTATAAAGCTGGGGCCTGAAAAGTTGAAGCAGAGAAAAGTTTGGTTGCTGAAAAAGATTAGCAATAAAAAGAAACTTTTACAACAAGACCATAGAAAAGATAATTTTAGGGCATCAAGGGACCAAGCAAGATCCCACCCTTTGTAGACTGAGTTGTTAAAGTGAGACTTTGCTTGAGAAAAGAGCCCCAGAGCATCCTGCTTTCGAAGGGCCATCTAGGGAATTGGTTCCTAGTGAATTGGTTCTTCAGTATTTGGTTCACAGCGCTCAGTCATCCAGTCATTCGGAGGCCTCTGAGGCTCTAATTCAAGGGGGCCTGGCTACTACTTGAGCTGACAACAAACCTTGGTATCATCTACTTAGTACTGGTTTTACAAGCAAGCAGAATACAAGAATTGAGGAATCAGAGGATTTTCACCCAGATTTCAGAAGAAGGCTTGGGAGTCCAGGAAGTGTGCCTGTGAGAGAACAGTGTGGGAAGCTGTGAGAGTAACAGTGGAGACCCCAGAAAGTTGGAGAAGCCAGAACATAGAACATTTAGGGAAGTTCACAAGAAGCGAGCAAAGCCAGCCCAAGAAAAAGCCGCAAGTGTTACAATCACTGGCAATGCTGTAGGGGTAGCAGGAGCTGCCCAAGCCCTTCAGAATTCATACCTCACCATACTCATCTAGGTTCTAGACAAAGAGCTACACAATTTAATATTTACCTTTCTAGGTTTTGGTCTTGCTTTGGCCCTATCAGTTTCAATCTCCCTGTTTCTCCTCTTTGGAATATTTCCCTGTGTCATCATGTGTTGGCAGTGTTTATCTTTTTTTATAATGTTTACAGGGCTCACAGTTAAGCGTTTTGGGTTTCAGAGAAGACTTTGGACTTTGACTTTTCAACAATGTTGGAACTATTAGACTCTGGAAACTCTTAGAGATGGACTAAATACATTTTTTTCCTTAAAGAGATGTGTATGAGCCTTTTGGAAACCAGGAGCAAAATGTTATGGTTTAGATCTAGGTGTCCTCCAAGAGCCTCATGCAATCACAGGAAGAGCTTTGGAAATTGGGTTATGGGGCTTTATTAGAAAGTGGGGTCTGTAGGAAAAGGTGGGTCTCTGGGATGTGGCCTGAAAGGGTATATCTCCTTTTCTGGCTCTGCCCTTATTTTTCTCTACTTCTTAAATGCCATGTCCTGAGCAGCTTTCCTCTGCCATGCCATGTAAGGACCACAGCTTCTCTAGCAGTACCAACGGCTCAAACAGCAACACGTAGGAGAACTTGCAATACTGCAACACCTCAATGCCTCAGCACCTTTCTTTTCCTTCTCCATGTCTCCATTTATGCTGGCAACTTTCCTCAGGTGAAACATCTATGCTCAGCACCATGGTGATTTAATTCAGCTGGCGTTAGTTGACCACCAGTTTCCAATCCATAACACTATCCTTGGGTATCATGGCTTTAATGCTTTCCATGTCTTGTGATCCATCCGCAATAGAATCACAATGGACCTATAATCTTTAGGACCTGAAAGGCTGCTCTGCATGTCCTAGTTTGTCTCCTTTCCTGGGCGTGGCCAGGTCAGCCTTCAATGTTAAGAAAACTTCAGGAGCCTGGCCCAAGGTTCCCCAGGGTGAGGTTGGGCCAGTGTGATTTCTTTCATTTCTTACTCAGCTTGAGTCTGCAGAACTCTGCACAGGCACCTTAGGAAGTTTTATTACAGTTCCTGGCAGCCCACGGTTGTTCCCTAAGGGGATGCCCAAAGATGAGAATCACTGGGCTCTGAGTCAGGATACTGGGCTGCTGGCCAGCTTAGCACCCACTCCCTGCAACCTCAGGCAATCAAGACGTTCCCTGTCTTCTGGGCCAGGGGGTTTCCAAATAAAACCAAGTGCCGTTTACTCTTAGGGACCTAAAATTTACAGCTAACAAGTGGGCCCCTTAATCCCTGCTTCACCCTCACTGATCCCCTACCTCATAGGCTGTTCTTACAGCCGAGAACTTGCTGAGAATTTTTGTTATCGACCCCCTGGACTGAGCTTTGCCGCAATTTAGAGTCCCCTTTTCTCTCCCTCTGCCAGCACTGATTTGATCCTCAAAAGTCAGACTTAATGCCTTTATCTCTGGAAAGCAGGTCTCTCTTCCCTTCAATCTAGTCCGCCTCTGTGCTTTTGTCAGACTTCATGTGTCTTGTGGTGTCTGTGACCACACGGAGTCCAGGTTCAGGGCCTCCAGAACCCCGATTTAGAGCGCGCATGGCGGGCGAGCATCTTCTTTGAAACTGGCGCCGGGCGCTTCGGGGTTAAGGACCCGGGCCTGGAGGCCCCGCCTGCGGAGCGCGCCAGCCGGCGAAGGGGAGGCCGTCCCGGAGGCTCCAACCCTGGGCCCCTCGTCATCGCCACAGACACCGCCCTCCGAGCTAAACGCTCTGGTGTGTTCCAGCTGCGTAGACCCGAGAGGGCTTTCCCCACGTCCGCGAGAAGCACTCCCCCGTGTGCACACTTGGTACCACCCGGGGATTCCCCGCGCGGTGCATGACGTCACGGGGTCTCCGCGTGGCCCCGCCCGGCCCGCCAGGCCGCGCCTTTCTCGGCGGGAGCGCGCGCGGTGCGGGCGGGAGGCTGCGGCAATGGCGGGGCCCGAGGGACCGAGCGTCCCGGGCGCCCCCGCCGCCCTCTGGAAACGCCACATCGTGCGACAGCTGCGGCAGCGGGATCGCACGCAAAAGGCTCTCTTCCAGGAGCTGGTACCAGCATGTGAGTGTGTGTGGGGCTTTGGAGATGCCTTGGGGGGCGGGGCTCCCTGCACGGGCCGAGGGTTTGTCTTGCTGCTCTGCGCCTCGGGGACCCCAGCACCTTCCTGCTCCCGAGGATCTGTGCCTTGTGCCTCGAACCTGTCAGCTACTCCCCAGTTCCTAGTGATAGGACTCCTGCCTCTTCCAATCCAGGCTGTGCTGATAACTCCCTCCTGGACGGAGAAACCTCTCCTGGTACCCCTCAAGGTGTGGCTCTGCCTCCTAGGAGCTGACACAAGTTTGTCTCTAGCGTTGGTTTGCAGGGTCTCCTGTGCCTGCCCCGCCCCCGACAGTCCCCAGGGTAGGGAGGGCCTAGTGGAGAGGGCCATTTGGTCCCCCGTGGGCCAGTGGAGGAAGGCAGGACTGTTCAGAGCAGCGACTTGTTAGCAGATCCAGCCAAGGAGGAAACTCAATCGCAGGCTCTGCCACCAATAGATGTTCTTGGAGCACTTCTGTGCCCAGCCTGCCTGGGGAGAAGCAGGGGCCCACATTTCTTGAGGGTGCTGGCTGAGCTCTAGGAAGTTAGGCTCTCCAAGAGCTCTTTCTGGGCTGCTGGTTAGGAAGGTGTGGCAACAGGTGTGCATATGTGTGTAGGGCCATTGGTCACCTGAGAAAGTCTAGCCACAATCTGTCATGCTCACACATTCATGTCTGCTCTTGGGAAATTTCTTTGAAACTTTACAGGTGGGGGCAGATCCTTTCCCTTCAGGGTTGGGAGGCCAGCCCCTTACCTCTACTGCTCTGATGCGTTATGTAGAACTTCCTAGGTCCAGTCATATCTGTGGTCTTGGGCAGTTCAAACACTTCGTCCCTAAGTGTCATGTTTCTTTTTTGTAAATTAGGCACAATGGGGCCTTCTTTGGGCTTATTGGGGGGTGCTCTGAGGGCCGGGGTGGGGTTTTGTGTGAGGACTAGGCCAGAGCCAGGGACCTCAGTCAAGGTGCCGGCTGGGCACTGGGCGAAGGAAGGTGGCTCAGGAGCCTGGGCTTACCACCCTCAGCCTAGAAAAGGGGAAGTGACCATGGAGGGGGTATGTGTGCATCCCAGGGTGAAACCACCAACCTAAGAAGGTCTGTTGGCTAATTGCTCAAGGACTTTCTATTTCAACCTGGGGCTACTTTACACCAATTTTGAGGAAGTTAGGATTACTTTAGTGGGAGTTAGTTACTCCCCTTGGAGGGGAAGGGGAAGTGACTTGTGCTTGCTGAAGGCCAGATGCAGTGAAGCATTTTTTGGGGACAGGGTTTCACTGTATAGTTCAAACTGGCCTCAGACTTGCTGTGTAGCCCAGGGGCCTCAGCTGTGAACCCTTCTGCCTCAGCCTCCCTAGTGCTGGGATTACAGGCAAGTGCCACCATGCGAAGCCTAGGTGAAATTTTTGTTTGTGTCATTTTGCTCTGTAGCAAGCCCTGCTGTGGGCCGGGATGAATCAGTTTCAGGCCTCTCACCTCCCTCAGGCTCCTCTTCTGGCATTACCCTGCCAGCCACCCCTGTCCCCAGCAGTAGTGGTCCTTCTCCCCTTTGAGAGTAGTCCTCTTTTCCTGGGTGGGCCTGGGGTGCGGTGGGGCCAAAACTGTGAGAAGGCCAGTGTTGTGAGGAGACTTGTGCCAGGGTGGAAGGTCCTGAAAAGCTGCAGAAATGCCCTCAGGCAAGGGGCAGAGCAGAGTCCCCAGTAGCTTCCCTGTTCCCAGCATCCCTGGGATCCGGCATCCCTCCCAGCCAGAGGTAACTTGTATGCCAGTGGTCTCCTGGGGAGTGTCTGTCTCTGCCCCAGGCTCACCCTCTTGCACTCTCAGACAACCATCTCCTAGAGAAGGCTGAGCTGCTGGCCATGTTCTCAGAGAAACTGCAACTGGAGCGCAGCAATGTCACCTCTGTCCTCCACGAGGGCTCCTGGTGAGTGTATGTAATGGGCTGCCAGTACCTGGACCTGCCCTGCCACCTATGTTGGGTTCATTTTCTCCCTGGTGCCTCACTGCCCTCCTGCTGCAGGGGTGGTGGGCCTTTAACGCCCCTCTCCCGCAGCTGCTTAGTCTGCTTTCCCCTTACCCTTCTCTCTCTCTGCATTTCCCTGTCTCCTTCCCACCCAACCCTGTGCTCCCCCCTTCTCAGTCTTTTCATCTCCTCATGCCTTACAGAATGCCTCCAGAAAGGGTCCTACTCCCTGTTCCAAAGAGGGAGTGAAGACAAGAGCTAGGAATGGGTCAGGCCAGAATTGGCAGGTGCTTCGTGAAAAGGGTTCTTAGTCAGGAAACCCAAGGCTTGGATAGCCCCAGAGCACAGGAGTCACAGAATCTCATTTCTGATACTTGCTTTCTTCCTTGACTGCTTGCTAGCTTCCATCTTCTGCAGAAGAAAGTTAATGGCTCTTATTTCAGGCTTTTCGTGGGGTACCCCCTGGGAGCCTTTGGGCCCTGGGGGAAGTGGGGGTGTCATGGTCATGAACACTACTCTGATTGGCTGGCAGGGAGGAGGAGTCAAGGGCTGACTCAGATGGAGTCTGCTCACCAGCCAACCTGAAGGTGAAGTGGCAGGAAGAGGAGGAGGCTCTCCAGCTGGTCTGTGGTGAGGTAAGCTCTCGGCAGGGATCCGAAAAGGAGTCAGGGCCAGGATCCAGAACTTCACAGCAGGGAGACATAGTTTTCTAAAGGCATGATCGAGCCTGCTGCCTTGCTGTGTTTGCCATAGTCCATGAGCCCAGTGCTGCAGGAGTGAGCCCCAGGGTCTCAGGCCCTGACGGAAGAGGGTAGGAGGTCAGTGTGGCATCCCAGGACAAAGTGGCTCCAACAGTGGTTGGAGGGAGGCGAGATCTCAGGGAAGCGAGTGGGCGTGCAGGGGCCTGGCAGCCTGTCCTCTTTTCCGGGTGGTTTAGCCTGCTCTGCTCACTCCTGCTCATGCCTGCCCATTCCTCACCCCTTGCCCAGACAAGCCCTGGACCCAGCACCATGTGCTGTTTAATACATATGGGTAGGCTGACTGAGGCCGAGGTGTACCAAGGCAGGCTGTGGTGCCTACACTTGACATGACTGCCCGTTCTGTCCCAAGTGGTGTCTCTTGGCTTCTGTTTTACCCTAATCCCTCAGTACTGTGGCCGTTGCCTCTGAGCTTCCTTCTCTGGCTCCTTTCCTCCCCACTGCTTCTATTTCTTTGGAGTTTGAGTGGGCTCACTGGCCAGCATTTGCTGACTTTGCTGACTCCTGGACCTATTTTCAGCCCAGCCTTCTTTCTGAGCTCTGGGCTTCCTTGCTCAGTTTCTTTTTTGACATCACAACTACAGTTACCATCTCCCCATAATTTGGCCAACATCACATTGAGAGTTGACTCCCTGCAAGAACTGGTAATCTCAGTTAATCCTTCAAAATTTCATAGTTGCAGAGGCAGAAACCGAGGCTTCAAGAGGTAGAGCCCAGAGTTGAACTTCCAGTTCACTTCCTGTGATCTCCATTTATTATTTCAATAAATATTTATTAACAGCGATCAACAAATATGTATTAGCAGGGAGTGCAGTCACAAACAAGACATATCTTTGTGAATTTCCACAGGAGAAGACTGAGGGGCCAGTGTTCACAGCATGCCAGGTGACCTGCCCAGCACAAGTGTGGAAATGGGCTAGGAACACAGTGGAGCATCTCTTCCCCCAGGGCTGCTATTGTGGTTGCAACTTGATAATGGCGTGACATTATCACATGTGCAGAGTTTGTAACCATCAGGAGGATACAGCATTATTTCATAACAAGATATTCTTGCTACCTCTTTTTCCTCACACTAACCTTCCCCTCCTAGTCATCCCTCACTAGTGGCAAATACTAATCCATTTTCTACTTCTCTCATTTGAATTTTGACAAGTATCAGATAAAAAAAATTGAATGGTAAACATGCAAACGACAGGCAGAGAAGTGAGTTAGTGACTGTATTGCTCAGTGGTGAAAAAAATGTATCCTTGCTGGAAAGCTGTGTGTGCAAGGTCCCGCCACAGCCCCTCACAGGGAGTTGTGTCAGTGAAGGTAAACAGCTCAGCCTGTCTTTACCAGGCCGCAGTGAGAAAATACCAGGACCAGGTTAACAATAAGAGCCCCCAGCTTGAGCTATTTACTAGGCTAGAGGTGTGCATGGTCTGTGGGCCTCATATTCTTCTTGCCACAGTGGTGAGCACTGCCTTGCCTGGGATCCGTGTTTCCCACTGACCCCTCAGCACCACGAGGAGGGAGAAGGATTTTTACTTTATGGCCTCCCTGGCTCTTGGCTCTCCACTGAGGAGTTGTTGAGTGAGGCTGGGATACCAGGGAGATGACCTGCACCCCACTTCTGGGCCGTAGGCGACTCCACCATTCAGTCTAAGCCTGGACTCCCACACACTGGTCCTGCTCCTAACCTTGTGTGCCTCCGCTTTCTGAAACCAATGTGTTGTGGGAGGTCACTTAACTAGTCATTGTTCTAATCAGTAAAATGAAAACTGTAGTGCTTACCTTAGATTATGAGTTAATGTATGTAGAATGCTCAGAATAAGGCCTGGCAAATGTAATTGCTAAATAAAGATTTTCTGATATCTGAAGTATCTCTCATAATTGGTGTTACCCTATGAGGTAAGCACTATCATTGTCATTTTACAAATAAGCAGATTCTTCTTGCCAGGGAGGTTAAGTGACTACCTCAATGTGTGTGTGTGTGCGTGTATTGCTTTGCGGAATTGAGCACTGAACCTAGAGCTTTTGCGCTGAGCTACATCCGCAGCCATTTTTATTACATTTATTTTGAGATGATACAAAGTTGCTAAATTGTTCTGGCTGGCCCAATTTGCAATTCTTGTGCTTCAGCCTCCCCGAATGCTGGGATTACACAGGTGAGCCACCATATTTGCTGGCTGCTGCACTGTTTTTTTTTTTTTGAGACAGAGTCTCACTAGGCATATGCAGTTCAGGCTGGCCTTGAGCTCACTTTGTAGCCCAGACTGGTCTTGAACTTGTAAAGATCCTCTTGCCTCAGCCTCCAGAATGCTGGGATTACAGGGGTGCACCACCAGGCCTGGCCAGCAGTGCATTCTTTTTTTTTTTTTTCCGGTCTTTTTCGGTACCAGGGATCGAACTCACGACGGCCTGCTTGCAAGGCAGGCGCTTATGCCGCTGAGCTAAATCCCCAGCCCCCAGCAGTGCATTCTTAAGGCAGACTAAACCTCACTGGGTGTCAGATTTCTTCTCAGGAAGGGGATGGGCGTGTGGGGTAGCAGGCTTCTCAGCCCAGAGGACCAGGAGCCAGGAGTGAGCCTTATAGAGGAATCTATACCCATCTGTCTGCCCTCTCCCCCAAGATGGCCTACCAGGTGGTGGAGAAGAGTGCAGCTCTGGCCACCCAGCAGTTGCAGCTGCAGGAGGAGCAAGGCAGGTGAGGCACCAGGAGAGAGAGGGACCCGAGGCTTCAGTTGTGGGGGGAATGATGACATGGGCCCAGAGCTTCTCCCAGGCCAGTAAACAGCCCTTTGGTTAGAGACTGGGCTCTGAGCCCCGGCTTGGTTGAAGGTGTAGGGTAGCCATCTGGGGGGCTGCGTGGCCAAGAGTGCAGGTTAGTGATCCACTTGTCGTCCTCCCCATCCTGCAGGTTGGAGGCTCTGGAGGCCCAAGTAGCGCAGCTACAAGAGGCACGGGCGCAGCTTGCCCAGCAAGTGGAAGAGCAGCGGGCACAGAATGTGGCGCAGCGGGCAGCCTACGAAGACCTGCGTGTGCAAGCCGGGAATCAGGAGGCCACACTGCGCAGGCTCCAGGAGGAGGCTGGCCACCTGCTGGAGAGGCTGGTGCAGCTCAAGGCTCGAGCTGCAGTGGAGCATAACCTGCGCCTTGAGCGCTGGGAGCGGTGAGAAAACGGACTCACCTACTTTGGGGTAGACCTGTCCCCTTGAGTATGCGCTCCGCCCCTTGGGGGAAAGGAGTCTGGTTTTGCCCTTTCCAGTAGGCTCTCTAGGGAGAAGGGAGGAAGTCAGGGCATCTCGCGCTTAGTCCTGATTTTAGGCGATGTTAGGCGGGTTTTCTTTCCCCAGGGCCAGCCAGGCTTGGGTGTCCCAGGAACTGAAGAAGGCTGCCAAGCGGACTGTGAGCATCAGCGAGTAAGAGTGGGGAGAGGCCGGGTTTGACTGGTCTTCCATCCAGCCTCTGCCCAGAGTTGCCCACACCCTTTGATCCCTACGCCCACCTGTACCTGGTGACCCTACCCCCGCCTGTACCTGTGCACAGCCGTATTCCCAGTGTCCACAAGTGATATGGCCCCGGAACCAGCACGTGTGCCTGGTACTCATACTCCCACACCACCCATCATCTCCACCGTGTCCAGTGCTGGGGCGGGGAGGGGCTGGCCTTCCCTTGGCCTTCTTGAGTTTCATTCCTGCTCCTAGGGTCCCAGAGTCCCAGGGCAAAGGGATCAGGGAGAGCACAGAGACTCTGGCCTTGGCTGCTGAGCTGGACTCCATGGCGCCTGAGGCTTGTGAGAAGTGGAAGAGACCTTTCAGGTGAGGACTGAGTGGCTGTCCTAGAGCGCTGAGCTGGGCTCTAGGCTGTCAGTTTTACTCGGGCCTTGAGGTCAGCTCTTGGGAGGGTTGGCAAGAGACAGGGCACAGCCAGGGCTGGTCTGACCTCAGGTGTCTAGAGCCAGTTGAGATCTGTGTCACTCACCCCTTTCTCTCCTTCCCAGGACCAGCACTGTGGGGTGGAGTGTAAGGGTTGTGAAGGTATCACCAGCAGGGAACTGTGGGTAAGGCCTAGGGCTCAGCTGTCCAGTGGTGTATAAGCGTAGGTGTGCATGTGTATGTGCATACTGGACTTGGGTGAGCATCCTTGATTATGAACATAATCCCTGATTATGAAACATCCTGATTATGAGCCCTGATTATGAGCATGTATAAGTATGGGCCCACACTGCTGAGATCTCATGGGGCTTTCATTCTTGAGTGCCCTTCTGCTCAGGCTCTTCAAGACCCAATTTGCTATCATTGAGACTGTCCCCATCCTGGGCTGATCATCTCTTATTCTGGAGTCTTTTCTCATTCTTTCCTTGCAGGTTCCTGGTACCCAGGCCCTAGGGCAGTGAAAGAACCTTGGGGAGGGGCGTGAGACACTAGGGATAGCATGGGCTCCCATGGGCCAGATATCCCAGGACTTAACCTTCTCTCGAGCATTCCCTCAGCCTCGGCTGACCCTCCCCACTTCCCCAACCTTGTGCCACCTCAGCCTGGGACTCCATTCTTCCCCACTGGCCCCAGGCTGGTCTCCTGTGAGCCTTTGTTAGTGGACCCCTGGGATGGGGGAGAGGCAGATCTTACTATCATGATGGAGACTTAGGGAGCCTTTCATTGCTAATTTCTTCCCTCCCTGTTTCTGGGTTGATCTGGGCCCTGGTTTTCAGGGAGTCAAGTTCTTATTCCATGCTGTAGAAGTTATGAGCCTCCTGGTTTCTGGCAAAGTGTAGGGAGTGAACGAACGCTGTTTGTATACCCACTGGCCCATCCCTCAGTACCTCTCTCTGGTTCTGCCCCAGGTCTGCCTCGGCCACTTCCCTGACACTGTCTCGCTGTGTGGATGTGGTGAAGGGGCTGCTGGAGTAAGTGTGTGCGTGCACATGTGTGTGAAGGGGTGGGGCCTGTTGGAGCCCCATGTCAGGCTTCTAAGTCCAGACTTGTCTATGTACGTGCCTCTGTTTGTCAATGCATGTGGTGTCTGTTGTCTGTGTGTGAGTCTGTTGGGTCCCAGAATCAGGAGCCGGGTGTCTGGCTTCCTTTCTAACCTATGCCCAGATACCTTTCAACCTCACAAGGCTCTGCTCTCACCCAAGATCTTCACAGGGGACCAAGAGTACCAGCCTGAGTCTGACTGGGAACTCTTACTCAGTTGGCAAACTGATTTTCAGAATGTCACAGATTTGTTCAGAGTCATAGGGCCAAGCAGTGACAAGGTGGAGACTGAAATCTCAGCTGTGAGGTTTCTCTGCATCTGTCAGTGCTACCCTTCCCTGGGCCTGGCTGTGTGTACTGCCCCATATCTCCACAGAGGTCAGGCTGGATTGGGGATGTGCTCATTGTAACCTGAGACCGTGTTCTGTCACCTACCATGTTTGCTTCCTGTTGTTGCCACCTCAGGGTATCTTGAAGCTCCCATATCAGAAACCTTGTTGAATGCCCCCTGACCCTTACCCTTGTAGTTTTAAGAAAAGGAGAGGTCACTCAGTTGGAGGTATCCCTGAGCAGCGATACCAAAGCATCCCTGTGTGTGCAGCTGCCCAACTTCCTGTCCAGGCTCAGGATGTTCTGGTAAGGGAAGAGCCGGGCCTCATGTGGGGTGCTGGTATGGGAGTGCAGGCACCTGCTCAGGTGGGCCAGGGAAGCAAGGCTGGGCACTCAGTGGGGGCAACCTATGGTGACCACTCAGGAGTTTTACGATGAGGGCATGGACAGGAGAAGGAGACGGGAGGTTGGGAGAGTAGGCCGCCCAACAGGAGAGTGTAGGTGGTAGAGGGAGAGATTGCAGTGGGGTTCAGGCAGAGATGAGGAGAGCTGCTTGGGCCAAGTTTGAAACAAGGTTAAGGAAGAGATGGGGCCTGTGGGGGTGGGGTTACCAAGCCAGTAAAAGGCTGCGTGTGACCTCAGGCACACGTGAGAGCTTGTGGCACGTATGGGAAGATCAAGGCACCAACCTCCCCTTGCCCTGCAGGATGCCCACCTTTCTGAGGTCAATGCCGTTTGTTTTGGCCCTAACAGCAGCCTCCTGGCCACCGGCGGGGCTGATCGCCTCATCCACCTCTGGAATGCTGTGGGAGGTAAGATGCCCTCCCTGCAGGCCAGCCCAGTGCTTTCTCTGCAGACTCACTCAGCTGGCTCCTGAGTGGGCCATGGCCTTGGACTTCTTTGTGTTGCCCCACGTGGAACATTCCTGTGGGCAATCTCTAGGAACCCATGGGACTCCTGGTCAGTGTGCTGAAGAAGGGGAGAGATTCCCCGATTCTGGGTTCCAGGCCTGCAAAATGGGGAGGACTGAGCTCAGGTGGTCCCTGCTAGGGGAGGTGAGGGTTCTCTACTGGGGACAGGCCTTTGAGGAGCAAGTCCGTGGGCCCATCACGTCACCTCATTAAGCTTCTTGAAGTCAAAGATGAGACAGAGACTGACCACACTGCCCCAAGCTTTGTGCCCTGTATAGGCTTGTATTAGGAATGTCAGCTCCTAGAAGCTTCCTAAAAGAGGCAGGTCGCTAGCTGGTCCAGTCTTGCTTACTGTGGGACCTTGGGACAGTCCCTTTTCTCTGGGCCTCTCCATGACTAGCTGCCCTCTGGGATCCCCTACCAGCAGTAATGGGAATTGCAGCCTCCTACACAGGCTCCAGAACAGCTCAGCGATTCGGTGGCTAAAGGGAGAGACCGATTTTCACTCTCCGTCCCAGTTCCTCTATTTAATGAGCTTAACGGTCTCATATTACTAGTCCCATCCCGTTCCCCCCAGGACGCCTGGAGGCCAACCAGACCTTCGAGGGAGCTGGTGGCAGCATCACCAGTGTGGACATGGACCCCTCGGTGAGAGAATTTTGCCCCACTGACCTGAAATATATTTTCCCCAATTTGCTTGTCAGGCAGGTGGGCTCCGGTGGATATTGAGAGTATCCTAGAATGGGCCCTTGGGCTCCTGTCTTGGTGACCTGGGTCTTGGAATGCTCTGAAGCAGCCCCTGTCCCAGCTCTCTGGCCTGAGGAATGTTGCTGTGGCCAGGCTCAGGATCTCTTCTACCCTCATTTCTCTAGGGCTCCCAGGTTTTAGCAGCTACTTACAACCAAGCTGCTCAGCTCTGGAAGGTGGGGGAGGCACAATCCAAGGTGAGGCCTGACTAGGGAGGCAGCCTAGGGGTCAAGGGTCACACCTCTGGATTTGGGAGGGTCTCTTATGGGGTCTTGGCCATGCCCTTGATCCATACCTGGGGTGGGGCAGGAGACACTATCTGGACACAAGGACAAGGTGACGGCTGCCAAATTCAAGCTAACAAGGCACCAGGCAGTGACTGGGAGTCGAGACCGCACAGTGAAGGAGTGGGATCTTGGACGAGCCTACTGTGAGGCCCAGCCCTACCTCCCCTGCCCTCCAGCCAGCACCCTCAGAAGCAGGAGACCTCCTCGCCTTATTCTCTGGGGTTCATAGGCATTCGGGGTGAAACCTCCCAAGGCTCTCCTTTTCTGTCTCCTCACTACTCCTCTCTGATTCTGGCTTTGAGCTAGTGACGAGGAGGAGTGAGACTTGGGGGCTCTTGGGGGCTTCTGGCTCCCAGCATCACCACATGTCTGCTGGGCTGATTCCTGACAACCATGAAACCCTGCTCTCTGCCCTTTGGTCCCCAGGTTCCAGGACCATCAATGTCCTTTCCTACTGCAATGATGTGGTGTGTGGGGACCATATCATCATTAGTGGCCATAATGATCAGAAGATCCGGTTCTGGGACAGCAGGTGACAGGATCGGTGGTGGGTGCTGGAGGCCTGGGAACAGAGTACTAGAGTTCTTTTTCCTTTCTCTGGGCATGGCAGGAAGGGTCATGGAGGTACCTCAGGCACTGCCAGCTGGTGGCCTGTGCTTGGCATGGCCCTTGCTCAGCCTGTCCTCCAGGGGCTGTGCCACCTTCTTAGCAGCTCTTGGCCTAGCACTGGACTCTGCCTAAGCCTTAGAGTCAGGATAGATGAACACCTTTTTTTCCCCTTCGTACTGGGAATCAAACTCAGGACTTCACATTTGCGACTTAGATATTCCTGACCCATTGTTATCATTTTTTGATCAAAAGAAAAATTTAATTTTTTAAACTGAAGAGCCTGGTAATGGATATGAATCATTTACAGAAGCAGATGAGAGCCAGTGCTGAGCCTGTGTGGGCTTGCAGTCTGGTCTGCAGCGACTGGCCTGTGAAGCCCTTCTCTGTCTCGTTTTCATTGCTTTCCTTATCTAGAGCTTACTTCAGTGACTCAAGGGTTACCAGGGCTCTGGCTCTCAATTCAAAGTCTTTTGAAATTCCTCACTGGAGGCAGCTGGCTTCGCTGGGCAGCCTCAGCTCCCGAAAGCCAGACCCTGGTATGTCCCTAGATTTTATTGGCTTTTGGAGTAGCTGCAGCCTGCCTCTTTCTGTCAGGAGTGACCTAGATCAGAGGGAGCTCTTTGTCACCCCTCTCTCTGGGATGTTCTTCAGGGGGCCCTGCTGCACCCAGGTCATCCCTGTGCAGGGCCGGGTCACCTCCCTGAGCCTCAGCCATGACCAGTTGCATCTGCTCAGCTGTTCCCGTGACGACACACTCAAGGTCATCGACTTGCGTCTCAGCAATATCCGCCAGGTGTTCAGGTACCTGCCTTTTGTCTGCTGATCCTGTGGTCTTTGCCTGGGTGGCTGGACCTCTCTCCTATACATGGCCCTTGGGGCCCTCCCTGGAGCTCCCTCCTGAGGTACCCAGCCTTTGATAGAGGAGTGTCCTGGAGCTCCTAACTGGGGGGCAGGGCTGACAGGGACTTCCATTCTTACCCTGGCCCCATCTTTCCTCAGGGCTGATGGCTTCAAGTGTGGTTCTGATTGGACCAAAGCTGTGTTCAGGTGTGTCTACGAGACCATGCCTGTGCTGAGTGTGCCCCGTCTGGCTCTTGTGTGTGTCCTCACCTCTGAGCCATTTCTCTTGCTTTTCTCTGGCCACTGTAGCCCTGACAGACGCTATGCACTGGTAGGCTCCTGGGATGGAGCCCTTTACATCTGGGACGTGGACACTGGGAAACTGGAGTGCACCCTTTGGGGTCCTCACTGGTGAGCATAGCCACCCCCCTTCGTGCCCTGCCCTGATGCCTGTCAAGCTGCCAGGCTCTGACGTGAACCTAAACTTTCCACTCCACCAAAGCCTTCACAAGTCACAGGTGCCTTTCGACATGTACTGGGCCATCCTTACCACAGCCCTGTGAGCTCATTTTGCATATGAGGAAGTGGGCTCAGTGAGAGGCCTCAATTTCCCAGGCTTAGCAGTGAGGGGCAGAGCTTGGCTGCAGACCTGGCTGTCCCTTGAAGCCTGCTCTCCCTTTTCTCAGTGCTGCTGTCAATGCTGTGGCCTGGTGCTACTCCGGGAGCCATGTGGTGAGCGTGGACCAGGGCAGAAAGGTGGCACTGTGGCACTAGGTTGTGCCATGACTCCCTTGCCTGAGCTGCGTCACTGGTCTGAAACTGAAGCCAAACAGCCTTCCTGTGCTCCACTGGGCTCCACGCCTTGGGGCTCGTGTTGGGGGTGGTCTCCAGACAGATGAGGAAAAAGGCCTGGCAGGACCTGGCCTGTTCATTTAAAATTACAGTTTTTAAAAAATCCCTGTCTCTTTATTTCCTCTCCCCAAAGTGTAAAGAACTGTATCTAAACTGTGTCTGTTTCTTTGCAGCATTCAGGGTACAAGGAGACCTTTGGGCTAGGGCTTGGGGAGGTCTAGCCTTGAACCTTTTCTTCCTGCCTGGGGAGATTGGGACTGTCCCCATCTAACCATGAGAACAGCATGAGAGAGATGCAAAGAGCAGTGGCTCTTGAGGATGGGGATGCGACCTTGGTGCAGTCTAGTCATGAAGCCAAAGCAACACCATGGGCCTCTTGCTCAGGCACCCTGGATAGACTGAGGCTGCAGGTGTGCAGGTGAGGCATCCCAGAGGGGTCCTGGTGGAAAGGGTCCTCATACCAGAGTGATGTTGGGGTACTTGATGCACTGGGGTTGCCAGTAAACCAAGCCCCTGTTATTCCTATAGAGGCAGAGTTCAGGGTAGAGGGGGGCCGCATATATAAGGCCTGGGCGGGGGAGAGCTTCACTTGCATTTGTAATCCACACGATGAGCCCAAGTATGAGGACCCACTGCGCAGTGCCTGGCTCCCCACTTCTGCAGCCTACAGCTGAGCATTAGTCAGTGAAGACAGACAGATTCTGATCAAATAGCAAATCCTGGGAGTGGTGGCACATCCCTGTCATCCTGAGACTCACTCTGGGAGGGTGAGCCAGGAGGGTCACAAGTTTGGGTCCAGCCTGGGCAATTTAGCAAGACCCTGTCTCAAAATTTCAAAACGGGTTGGGGATATAGTCCAGTATGAAGGCTCTGAGTTCTGTCCTCTTTACTACCAAAAGAAGAAGAAGAAAAAACCCTCTATGTCCCACTGGCTCCCAGACTGCCTATCCCTCTAGGTCTTGCAGTCCCCTGAGCAAGCATGATATGCCCAACTTCCTGGTATCTCTCCTGCATGTGACTCTGTCCCTCACAGCAGCAGAGCCTGGGGCTGCTGTCCCTAGAGTTCCTCTTCATCCTTGATGCCACTACAGGCCACCTTCTAGACTTGTGTCTCCTCTTGGTCCCGTCCCTCCTGCCTTTGTCTGAACCAGAGTGACCTCCTAAAGTGCCATGGCTAATCCTTTCAATTTCCTCTGCTGCCTTCAGGAAAAACTCTTCAGCTTGAAGATCAAAGCCCTTTAGATGCCACTTCTGGCCTGTTATCTTCATTAGCTTTTTATTCTAAATGTGTCATATATGTGCTTTTTCCTTGACCAGAATGTTCGTGTCCCTCTCACCTGATTTGTCCTTAGAGCTCCTCTCACTGAGAGCCCTCCCCTAACAGGCCAGGCTGGATGGGGGCCTCCTTGGTTTTGCATTCCTCATTTGTAACTGTCTCCCTCCATTTAAATGAGGGCGCTCTTGAAAAGGCCTGGGTGGGGAGAGTATTCCCTGGGGTCAGGCCTGGGCTAGTGAAACTTCAAGAAATGTTTGCTAAGTGATCAATTCTCTTATTCAGGGATACAGCAAGCTTAGTTCAGAATTCTAGGAGTCCAAGTCTAAGCTGCTCCCCTTAGCCCTCCTACCCTAGCTCCTAGTGGCCACCAGGGGTCACCAGCTGCTTAGCTCTGCCCTGACCATTCACAGGCCTCCAGGAATTGGTGGCCTGAAAGACCAAAGCTCCTTAGTCACTGAGCATTCAAGATGTGTGAGCCTCACTGGCACTTCTCACTTGTTCCAACCACTGTGTAATGTAGCTGTCACATTTTACAGAGGAGAGAAACAAGGCTCAGACATCAGGTGATTCAAGATCACACAGCTAAAGACCCATGGAGGCTGTAACTGCGCTGCACATTTTGTTAAAATGTCAGACCTCAGACTCGCAGTTGGACAGGGCAGCAGGGCTGCTCCCCTGTGGTGTCTGTGTCTGCTTTGTGTCTAACATGACTTCCCTCCCTGTGTCTTCTCTCCTCCATTCTGGCTCCTGAGTTTTGACGTTTAGGTTCTCCTGAAGTGAAGATATTCAGGGACACAGGAGGAAGGGAAGCTTGAATCCCGGGAGGCTGTCACTGGCCACACCACTGGGGCAAGTTCCTCAGTATTTGTGGTTTTGCTGCGCCTCGTGGGATTGTTCAGACTGCTTAGGGGATCCAGAAGAGGTGCCCGGAAATGATGTGACGCACTCCTTGGGACAGTGACTCTTCTCTCCTCGAAGTTTTCCTTACACTTTTGACCACACAGCTGTTGGGGTGCAGCTGCCTTCTCTCACGGAGCACACATTATTTTCTTGTGCATTTTGAAGGCGCAGGTCTGAAACATGAGAGACTGAGGTTTTCCAGGGAGTGAGATGGGCTGGAGGAAGAGACGCCGGCAGGGGGACATGGCTGAGGCAGGCTGGCACGGGCCATGGTGAATCTGAGAACTCCTGGAGGGAGAAATGACAGATGCCCCTGTTCTGGGCTCCTCCTGTATCTTGTTTACTTTCCAGACCAGGCTTGAATCTGATTTTTTTTTTAAAGATAGTCTCACTCTGTAGTTTTGGCTAGCCTCAAACTCAGGTGATCCACCTGCCTCAGCCTCTGGAATGCTGGGATTACACTCATGTGCTATTATACCTGGCTCCTTGAATCTCATTTTATTCAGTCTGCCTGATCAGACTGTGAACCCTTCAGTGAAAGGAGCTGTGCTCCAATGCCAAGAACATGGCCCATGGTAGTACATTTACAGAACAGAGGTGGTCCTTGGAGGAATCCTGATACAAGTAGGGGCCTATGTGTGAGATTCAGATATACCATGTCTGAATACAGGCTTAAACCCCCCCACCCCCATCTCACTATGTAGCCCAGGTTGGCCTTGTGCTCAGAGTGATCCTTCTGCCTCAGCCTCCCAAGTGCTGGGATTACAGGTGTGCGCCACCATGCCTGCTGTTTGCTCTCTGAAGTAGACCTGCTAGTCAGAAGCAACTTCAGCTGTCTGTACATTATTTGATTATTTTAGACAGTTGTGTTGCCTTCTGATTTGTACTTTATAGACAAGGAAAGTCAGGCCCAGAAGATGAAGAGCCTCAAGTCACAGTGGATGGGAGGCAGCTTAGGGACTTGCGCAGGGGTCTTTCCACCAGGTTCTTTCCTTGCATCTTGGAGGAGCAAGGGAAGGAGAGTGTGTGCAGTACACGGTGTGTAGACTACTCACAGGTTCACTTCTCATTTCAGGATAAAACACTACAAGAAAATATTCCCAGACCAGAGTTCTCAGAAACAGACATGTCGAAAGTATTATGCCTCCCCTCCCTTTTGAAGACAAGGTTCCGCTATGTAGTTCAGGCTGGCCTTGCACTCACTCTGTAGCCCAGGCTGGCCTTTAACTCACAGTGATCCTCCTGCCTCAGCTTCCTGAGTGCTGGGATTACAAGCATGCACCACCACACCTGGCCTATGAGTGTCTTTTTGGCCATGATGATCAAGGAAAAATAGTCCAGGAACAAGATGCTCTTTGGTATCCTAATGGTTCTTGGCAGATCAAACAGTAACAAAGCAAATACATAAAAGTCTAGGAGCAAACTTAACTGGTGTGTCAAGCTGTAGGAGTTCAGGACAAATTTCAACTCTTTCCCCTTTAACCTATAGTTTCTACAATTTGGCTGAATCTTTGCCATGAAAAACTACTTCATAATGAACAAAATAAAGGTAAGGATTCCAAGCAGCCAGACCTGGTCATAAGGCCACTTAGAAAGGGCTGGACAGTAATCAGAACTGAGATCACACGCTGTAGCTGGGCGAGTTGTGTGGACAGTGAGTACAGTGGCCTGGGATGTTCATGACATAGAGCATGAGGATTGGTTTGTCCCAGTGCGTGAGTCCAGTGACTTGAACTTTCTTTTAAATTTCCTGCTATCTCAAGAGGTCCATGTATTTTTAAGTCTGTCCTCAAATATGTGACCTGTTGTGTGATATTCCTGCTCTAATAATTGAACTGATCCAGAATGAGACTTACAAGCTGTGTGTAGACTTAAGAGTTTGATGCACAGAAAACTGTCTGCCCAAGTATCTACTGTACATACCCAGTCCTGGAAACAGGAGTTTGTGAGATCTCTCTCCCAACACATTAAACATGGTCTTAGGTAGCTGGCTAGAGACCAGAGAGACTCAGCCTGTGACCAAGACTCCTTTATCCATCCCCGAGTCCAGTAAAATTCGTTTTCACACAATTCTTTACTTAGGAAAGTAAACAGGCAACCAGAATAACCACTTCCTGCTGGACATGGTGGCACATCGATACTTCCAGCTACAGAGAGGCTGAGGTAGGAGAAGCAGTTGAGTCCAAGAGTTCTGGGCTGCAGTGTGTTATACTGACCAGTCAAACTGATGTGTCCACACTAAGTCTGGCATCAATATGGTGACCTGGGAGCAGAGGACCACTGGTTGACTAAGCAGGGGTGAACCGGCCCAGGTCAAGACCAGAGCAGTTCAAGACTCTAGTGCTGGTTAGGATGATCACCTCCCAGGCGGCAGCATTCATCCCTGCTGAGGGGACGTGCAGGACCCTCTTTCCCTCCCTCTAGTAGCAGAACCATAGCCCCCTCCACAGCTCACCAGACGCTGCCCACCCCTTCCTTTCAGCACTTCCCTCAGCACTGGCCTCATGTGTGGACGGGAAAGAACTGTGAAAGCAGAGACCATTACTTATTTATTTCCATCTTTAGTGCCCAGGCTATCCCTAAGCACACAGGTGGTGTCAGGGACTGTGTCCACAGGGGGATTTACTCTTTCGCTGTCTGTATCTGATAACTGTAGGAGGCCCAGAAGTGCGTATTTTTAGAAAAAGCATGGTCCTTTTGGAAAAGCCTATTCTCCCGAATCTTTTTATAAGGACACTTAGAAAACTTAATTCCATCTTTTAATTATTCAACATTTTATACATAATAAATACAAACTTTTTACAGCCACGGTAAAGAAAGCGCATGTGCACAGAGGCTCCCTCAGAGCCTGGCCCTGTGCTGTGACACTGGGATATATGTTCTGAAGGGGGGGGGGGGACTTTTTTTTTTTAAAAAGGAGGCATATTTTTACAACTTTGTTTTTTTTGTTTTTCAAATAAAATTAGCAGCTCTTCCAAAAAATATTTAAAATATAACAAAAGATTTGAAATAACTGAGGTTGTAGAAAACCCAAATCCAGGGACAATTTGGCTAGCTAAAGAGAATACACAATGGGGTGGCAAGAACTGCTCTATTTAATAAGCACTTGAGAGATTTGTAACATGTCAGAAACTTTAAAATCTTTTTTTAAAAAAATCCTTTTTAAACTTAAGAATAAGTTTGATAAACATAAAAGACCTCAAATAGATCAACAGGTTAAGAAATGCCAAAAAACAAACACAAAACCAAAAATCAGAGAAGATTCAGCAAAGCCTACTATCACTAAAGTGATCAAATGACTAACTGAAAATTTCTTCAGCTCTTGGTCAAAAATCCTATGGGGACATTTGGGTGACTATTTCAAGTTTTTGAAGGTTCTTGGGGGAGATGGAATTTTGAAAGCTTAATACAGTTTTTTGGGATTAAATTCTGAAAATCTGATTTAACAAAAATTTTATTACTTTGGGGGGTGGTGAGACAGGGTCTCACTACATAGTTCAGATTGGCCTTGAACTCACTACATAGCCCAGGCTGGCCTTGAACTTGCAGCAATCATTCTGCCTCTGCCTCCTGAGTGCTGGGATCATATGCGTGCATCACCTTGCCCGGCAAACAAAAAATTTAAAAGCAGCTGGCAAACATCCCTTGGTCCCTGGGTAACATATTCTACCTTCCATGGAGTGAAGAATCCGAGCACCACTCTGGGCCCTGCTACTATGGCATGGAGAAGCACAGAAGCTCTTTTTCCTTGTCAGCCGGCATCTGTGGAAGCTGTGCATCCTTGAGTCCTTTCTCACAGGAAGCCGGTTTCCTCCGTGGGCCTGCAGGATCTTCCCTCCAAAGGAAGCACTGGGGCAGTGGGACCTGAGAGCTGCATCTTCCATGAGTGACTGCTGGTCTGCCCTAACCACTACATGACTATCTGGCCAGTGTGCTGGCTTGGGAATGAAATAATTCTAGATGCCTCCCCAGGAGAGAAGCGCAACGATGCAGACATGTGTCTTCAATTTATTCAGACATTCATGTTCAAAGGGTGTTGGTCAGAAAAATATATGCTATAGATAATAAGATGAGAACTTCCCAAAGACAAAAAGAACATTAAACCAGCTCACTTCCGATCTGGAAGCTCCCTTTCTGTGTTAGCCACAGCCTCCTTTCTATTAGTCTGTGTGATGGGCAAGATGTGGCTGTTAGTTCAGCCCCTCCAGGTTAGCCCCACTAACTCTAAATGAATGGCAGAAATATTCATACAAAGGACACTGTTATTTTAAACCTGTTAGTTGTGGAAGGGATGTGCGTTAATGTAATTGGCGCTAAGTTCAAGGCAGTCCACTTTTTACTCAGTAAGGGTTCATTTTCAGTCTGGGGAGGAGCCAGCCTCTCCTGATCCTTTTTCTGTTTCCTTCTGGAGCCAACATGCTCTGATTAATACTTAATCAGATGATCAAAAGCCACTTGGAGAAAGATGAGATCTCACAGTAATATACTGTATGAATGTACATGATCAGTAATTTGGTGACTGTGCCCTGGGATAAGGCCTGATTTTGAGTCTCACATAAAAATGCACCACGTTAGCCATGAGGGCTGTTCCCCTCTATGCTGAGGCCCACTAGGATTTGTGCTATGGTTGGAGAGATGACATAGAAAATGACAACAAAAAAAGGCACAAAATATTCAAAACATGGGAGAAGTCCACCAGGCCACCCAGTCACATAGAATCCTCCTTGATTTTGCTCTGTTCAAGAGTCATCATCATGCAAAGGTGCCTAAAAAATAAGACTGGCCAAACCCCAAGCCTGGCCTTGATTGTAGCCATAAGGAGGGTAAACCCTTCATCACACCAGTGTGATCTCCACATCTTCCATCTTCTCCGATGGCCTCCGGTGGTTCTGTGTAGGTGGAGGAGGAGCTGCCCGGACCTGAGCAGTGAACAATAACATGGGGTGTCAGTTAGTTTCCTGACACAGGGCTGGGGTGTGTGCAAATCCCAATCGCCATTTTATCAAGTTCACGGGCACCCAGGATATTGCATCTAGGATTTACTGCTGAAAGGCAGCTGATATTCTAGGTGACACAGCAAACCCAAAAATCAAGTTGTTGCTTTGGCCAAAGGCCTTGTGGGCACAAAAATCGTAAGGGTCTTAAAATCCTCTTCAAAGCCAAGCAAGAGGGAAATGTTTAGGGAATTGAAAAACATGGCAGCCTGTCTTAGGAGGAGAGCTGCCAGAGAGAAGGTTGAGGAGGCAGGCTAGGGGTAAGATGCAAAAGACTGCCACCTGTGGTGAATGTCTGCAATCCCAGCATTTGGGAGGCTGAGGCAGGCCAACCTGGACTACATAGTGAGTTCAAGGTCAGGCTGAAACATAGCGAGACTCTGTCTCAAAAAACAAAACAAAACAGAAAAAACAGAAATGTGAAGGACTTTGCCAAGCCATGCTACTCTGTCTCAGAAAACCAACCAAACAAATAAATGTGCTTACTAGAAAAAAAATTGGTTTTATTCCAGAGGTAAAGAGGAGTCTTTGGTGGATCACAAAAAATATCATATCTACAAAAATACTCAGGTAGCACTTTGGAGTAGAGATCAGAGGTGGACCAGAATATAAATACAAAGATAACTCGGGTCAGGCATGGTGGTTCTTGTCTGTAAAAAAGGCACTGGAAGATATCCGAGGCCTTTTCAATCACCTGACAGACAGCGGATGTTAACCAGAATGAGATGGCACCAAAGGTGCAAGCAGAGAAGCAGACAGTTTGGAGAGCTGTCTCTGAGATACACCTGGCAGGATCTGGAATTGACTATTTGTGGGAGATGTCATGGGATTGCCAGTAATGATGCAGAGTACTGGTAGGATGTCAGTTCTGTTCACCAAGAAAGGCAACAGGGATGAAGGAGTGTGTCCAAGTAATTTTTGCTAAGTTTCGAAGTCTGGAACATATGAGATACTATGAGCACAAATCTGAAGCTCGGGGAAGAAACTTACAAATCTATGAGTTGTTGGTACATAAATGGTTCTCACAGCCATGGGAGTGCATAAAATCACCTAGAAACAATTAATTTACTGACTTCAAGAGAAACAGTCCTGGGACAGAGCCATGGGAAGTATCAGCAGAGGGGGATAGAAGTGAAGAAGCCTACAAAGGTCCATGAAAGGGCCAGAGAGGTGGGAGGCAAGCCAGAAAAGTGGGGTAGAGCAAACAAATTAGTCTCCTCTCTCCTTTCTTAGTCTTACCCATCAGCTCATGCTACCACTGCCTCCTTGCACCTTTGCTCCAGGGTCCTAATAGTCCATTCTGTTACCCTGCATTACTCTCCACTTAGCAGCCATAGCAATGCTTTAAGTGCAAAACCAGTTGCCACACTGCCCTCCTTAACACCTAACAAGGCACTGAGGTACACCTACTGAGTGGAATCAGTACTTCAAGGCATGGTATCAAATGCTGATACCGGGTCAAGGAAAATAAATTTGCAAAGCATCTTTTGGTTAAGTAATGTGAAAGTTATGACCTTGGATTATAATTTGAGATAAAGTTGAGACAGCAGTGGAGTGAAGAGTGAGTAGAAGTAACTATCAGAACATAATCTCCCACAGAACAGAAGTTCTTTGAGGCCATGAAGTACATAATTTTAGCTTGGTGTTCCTCACACAAATACAGGCGGGAAAAATAGTTTCTTAATAAATGCTTGGTAAAAAATTGCTTCCAGCTGGGGATTTAGGTCAGTGGCACAAGCGCCTGCCTAGCAAGCTCAAGGTCACGAGTTCAATCCCTGGTACCAAAAAAAAAAAAAAAAAAAATTGCTTCTGTTTCACAATTACACTTTTATGTTCAGAGAACTTGTTACAATTTGAATTCACTTGTATAGATTTCATTTTGTGTGCTCTTACCATGCTGAGTGAGAAAAGTTCCAATATAGACTAAATGTTCCAAGGTGAGTTGACTTCATAGCCCTTCAATAGCTCGTTTTACTTTCTTAAGTCCTTCACCTTGCTTGGTAAAATCAGTAACAACACAGGGGTGTGGGAACACATTAATTTCTCACTTTCAATTTGGAAGAACTATGCAGTCCATAACCTGATGAACAGGAGACTTACAGGTCGTAGTTTGCCATATGAGGTCTCAGGAGTCTGCCTGGATGCCTGTGAGAATCCTGGGGATTCGGCATGAAGGTTGTTTTCTAAGCGAGAGACCGAAGAAGCTCAATTTATTTGTGCTGTTATGTGATAAAATCGCTGGTATGTTTCTGAAGTGAAAATACAATTAGACTTGGCCCTGGAGGACCCTTACCTTGTGCTGATGGAGAGCGGGGGAAGAACTGGGAGTTCCTCTTATCTGGGCTAGGGTAAGGGCTGCTGGGAGGCTGGTCATACAGCGGCAGTGGAGGCAGGGAGACGTGCAGCTTTGGGGAAGGAGAGATCTGCAGCAAGGGAGACAAGGTTACCAGGCACTCTTGGCCTCAGGAAGTGGAGCTGGGTGCTTTTCTGGGGCTCATCACATTTTCTTCTCTGGAGCTAAGTTATAACTGTTAAAACGTTGGTCACATTAGAAGCAAATGGGCATCCAAATCCCAGTTTTGTGTAGTACCTCACATTTTCCTTTCACAGTTCTTATACTACTGACTTAAATTTACCTTAAATAGTGATCAAGTGAAACTATTCTGAGATTCTTCTGAAAATGTAACAAATCAGTCAATTCAGTAAACTCTATAAAGAATAAAACGAAGACAAGTTGTGTTTTTGTTTGTTAAGGGAAAATAATTGGCTGAGTCTGTGACTTCCTCGTTGTTTTTTTTTTTTTTTTTTCCAGACAGGGTTTCACTACGCAGTTCAGGCTGGCCTTGAACTCATTTTGTAGGCCATGCTGACCTCAAATTCACAGTGATCCTCCTGCCTCAGCTTTCTGAGTGTGGGGATTACAGGTTTTGTATAAGGCTAAATGCTAATAATTACCATGCAAACAAGATTAGCAAGCATGATCCTTATTCTGCTACCTGCTAGTCCCCTGTGACAGATCCCCAGTGTGACTGAATTAGGGATCTCCTGTAAAGGCAAGTTCCCTGTCTGGGCTAAGCAAGGGGCTCTGACAGTGACTGAGGGAAGGAGCTAACTAAGAAGTGTACTACATAAACTAACCACAAAGAATATATTCCTTCTCTGGTTTACTTCTTTTTCTCCACCAAACCCATCTTTTATATGTTACATACAGTTTACAATTTTGGTTAATGGGTTTAGAAAACAATATGGGAGTCTGGAGATATAATATGGCCATATTCCACAAGGGCCTAGCAAATCTCTCTCTGGCTTTCTAAATTCAGTTTTGTAGATACCTGATAACCAGAATTGGAATGGGGAGGGTGAGCCAGAGAGACTATAGGCCACTTTTTTTTTTTTTTTGAGTGGTTCTAGGGATTAAACTAGGAAGGTACTCTATCACTCAGCACTTTTGTCTGGATCAAGAAACCTCTTGGGAGTAATTTTCTTTACTATTTTAAAATTCACTCCTCATCCTGCTTATGTACCTGAATCTCTTTCATCCATGGAGTGTCACCATTTTCTGAGGCTGAAAGTTCTTCTACTAGCACCGATGGGAAAACTCCAATCCACCCATTGAACTCCCCTTCCCAGAAGCCATCGTCATCTTGGTTTTCTTTGTTCAAGATACGGATGATTGCTCCCTCAGGAAAAGACAACTCATCATCCGTCTGGCCTTCATAATCATAAAGTGCTTTCACAAAACAGACTAGGGAGCAAGAGAGAGACAAATCTGGTAAGAACATTTATTGCTGGACTGCTTCTGCACCCACTGCTAGGCTCACATGACACCTCAAAAACCATCACACAGGATAGGAGTAGAGATGTAATGTTTTTACTCATTGAAGATCAACTCTAGAGTTCAACTGCACAGGATGAATGTGATCAAGTACAGGAAAATAGTATAGGATAGAAATAAAGTGCTTTAACCTACTGGAGGCTTACTCCTGGGTTATATAGCGTGGGTCAAATGTGACCAAATAAAGAGTGCCTTGTTTCAGTCTTTACCACTGGCATCTCCGTTGAGGCTGCCTGAAACGAGTTCGGCTTCCGTAGAATTGCTGGAAGTGTGTGACCGACTATCCAAAGCAGCCAGGGACTGTAGCATGCTCAGTAAGCTGTTCGAGGTGGGAAACTGTAGGTACTTTTCGGGCACATAACCCACTTGGCCAACTTTATTTCGAGCCTGGTGAAAGACATGTGACAAAGAAAGGTTTGCATACACAGTCTGAAGAGGGAATGACAAGAACCAAAAGAAACTCCTAAAATGTCACAAGAAGGGGTGATATGAGCAAAGGAATATACCTTTACCCAGTCTTCCATATCTCCATCTTCAATCACTTCTAACACCTCATGTTCCTCAATGGTCAACTCATCTGGTTGAGAAGCCTGCAATGTAGGATGGTCATGGACAAAATTATAAAGGTTAGATAAGGAGCAGATGTGAGTTGGCTTAACAAAAACCAGGGATCAAGTATTGAAATGATTCTGAGAAATAAAAATTTTAATGCTGTAAAACTACCATAATGAGGTGAAGTTTTACTTTAAAAAAACTGAACAAAATAAAACTGCAACAGAAACTGGATCCTCAAGAGGCCATCAGGTTCATGAAGAGAGCACCATACTGGAAGGAGAGGACTCAGGTTAGAGCTGTTTGTGTACATATTAGTAAGTTACTCAACTTGATGCCTCCATTCCTTCAAAATGACAATCCTGCCATTGTCTGGAGGATGGGGGAGTCAAAATGGGATGAGTGAGCACAGAATTGTGATGACTTGGGAAGCGCAGGCAGAGGAGAAGGCACTGAAATGAAACTACCAGAGGGCTACCATGAAGTCATGCTGTGGGGCAAAAAAAACCCAAAAAACAAAAACCAAAAAACTATGTATATGAATTGGATGGTAGCTTGAGCACTGCCTACACTAGATCTGGAGTTTCTGTAAAACAGTGGCTAAACGAAAATTATGGGAAAGGGATTATTGAGATTAGTCATCCTGTTAGATTATGCTTCAACTTCGCTGTGAAGCTTGGGCTGATTCCTCTTGAATGCTTCTGTGTTTACTACTGACAGTGCCAGTCGCCAGATTTCAGGGGGTTCTTCAGCAGCTCCATAGAGCTTTGCTTTGTAAAGAGCCTTGCCTGTCACATGCAACAGGCAGGGGTTTGCTGGTGTCTTCTGGGTCTCCAGTAAATAGGCTTAAAATTTTTCTGTAAGTCCTAAGGCCAATTAAAACTATCAACTAAACCACAATTTTTCAAATCTCAAATGTGAAAGTGTAAAATATCTCCCATTTATAAAAGCAAAAAGAAGGCAAGAAAGTAAGTCACTTCCTAAGACCCATTTGTTACTCTGTGAATATTAAAACATTTCATCAAAACCCAAATTCTGGATGTTTCCATAGCTCCTTGAGACAAAAAGGTACTGTATTGAAAATGGATGACCAAGATGAACCAGAGAATATTCGGGGAACGAATTTTAAGTAAATTACCTCTGATCTAAAAACATGAGGGAAAACACTTCTTCATATAGCTTTTCTAATAGAATTTCTTTGCTATCCTTTAACCACACTGCTTTGAATATACCAACAAAATGCAATCTTGTAAAAAAGATACATTCCTAATTACCTGGCAAGACTTTAAGTAGCAAACAATTAGACTTTAATGTGTGTTGAGAGCAAAGCAGGAGGGACCAGAGCACCTTTTAATATGTTACTGGCTCTGTGAGAAAGTCACAGGGTCTATTTACGCTGTGCACACTGTTCAACAAAAGCAGGCGCCAGTGCAACTGTCCCTGTCCCTCTCAGTGACCATTCTTCCCCTTAACGAGGTCAGAACTCTGCTTGTCGAGCAAGACCTACAGATTTGGTTCCCTGGCCTCGAGATGCTTTGGACAGTGTACTCTTGCCTGTTGTTCACCGAGGACGCCATGCTTTTCCTTCTGTCTGGCACACTCTGCTGTCTTTCCTATCTGATGAATAAGTCAGAGTACTGCGGATATAAGTCTGGTTTCAGTCTTTTTCTATGGGCAAGCAGCTGTATGCCTTTCAGTCTCAGTTTTTCTTTTTTTCCACTAGATGTAAACACTATGAAGGCAGAGATTTTTGTGTTTTGATCAGTGCTGCACTCTAGATCCTGGAAAAGAGCACAGGACTGTGATAAATGAGTTGTTTGAGAATATCTTCCCTATAAGGTTGTTGAAGAGATTAGAAATAAATAGTAGCTATTATTGTTATTAACAATTTGTGGCCTAGCTCATATATTTCCCCAGACCACTCATAATGAGCTAGTTGCTTCCTCTTTCTTTGGTTGCTGTACGGCTTTGTGCATGCTGGGTGCTTGTCCTGTGGGCTCCCTAACAGAATGACTTATGGGAGGCAGAGACTATTTCTTTTCACATATCCCTACTACAGACAGCGATCGCTCAGTAAATGGCTGTCACGTTTATCTCTTATATACACATCTCCCACTTCCTAACATCCACAGACAGAATCTATTCCCATCTACATTTCTCCAAATTTCTTGTATTTTCTTTAAAGCCATAAGAATTTCTAGATTATGAAAGTAATACATGTTCAAAGTGTAAAGAAGATAAAAAACATGCATAATTGAGAGCTGAAGGTACACACACTTGGTATCCTTTTAAAAAATTTGCCATTGTGTTTCTTCCCCCATAAAAATTCTTAGTAATATAAATTTGAATAACATTCATAGCAATACTATATGTTGTGGTTATATCATATGAATGGCTATTTTATTTCCTTCTAGGATTGCCAACTTGAAGATATTATAAACTAGCATAGTAGCAAGATGAATTTTTTTTTTGTAGGGCTAAGAATCAAAACCAGGAACTGGTTCATGTCTGATAAGTGCTCTATCTACTGCTGAACTAAACTCTCATCCCTAAAAAACCATTTTCTATATTGTGGTTCATTTCCTTAGAGTGGATACCAACAGGATTGAACATTATGAATATTTTTAAGGCATCTGAATCTAAACATTAAATATTTTCAAACCATTTTCTTTGTTCTCATCAGATCAATCTAGGCTTTCTTTGTTAGTCTAGACCAGTGGTGGCAAACCTACAGCATGTGTGCTGTAGTGAGCTGTGTGTTATTACTGAAAGCTCTAAAAGCTTTCATCACTGGTAGACCACAGGAATCATGCTAAAGGGTTTTTTTTTTTCCCAGAGACAAAGAGAGAGAGGGAGAGAAAGAGAGAGAGAGAGAGACAGACAGACATTCTGACTTGTTCTGTCTATGCTGCCTAGGCTGGCCTCAAGTGATTCTCTCTCTTCAGCCTCCTGAGTACTGAGTAGCTGGGACTACAGGTGCATGCCACTGTGCCCAGCTAATTTCTCTATTTTCATCTGTTCCCCAAGGGTGTCTACCAGGTGTTTCCAACCTGTGGCTGGTGGGCTGCTTATCATTTTTTTTAAAAAAAAAGTTGGTTTGGAAGGGGGGGGATTTTAGACAGAGTGTTGCTGTGTGTTATAGTTTAGGCTGGCCTTGAACTCACTATGTAACCCAGGCTGATCTTGAACTCATGGTGATCTTTCTGCCTCAGTCTCCCAAATGCTAGGATTACAGGTGTGCGTATATGTTATAAGAAAAAATACATAAGGAATTTTTGTTACTTACATATAACTATATTTTTTATTTTAAAAAGAATCAAATGTATTATATATTTTGTATGAGGCCCAAAACAGCTCCTCTTCATTGAGTCCTAGACAGCCTAAAAGTTTGCACACATTTGGTTCTATATCATGACCAGGGTTACCTTCATTCTTTTTTGTTGAGACAGAATCTTGCTATGTTGTTCAGGCTGGTCCTGAACTCATTAGGTAGCCCACGTTAGCCTCAAACTCATGGTAATCCTCTGCCTCAGTCTCTTGAGTGCTGAGATTGCAGACATGGGCCATCATGCCTGGCTCAGGGTTACTGTCTTAGAAGTCCAATCGGGTTTCTCTAAGCCCCGACAAAAACCCAAGTTGTAAGGCTGGCATACCAGGTCCTTTACTGTCTGACAGCAAACATCTTTAAGTCTATTCCTCCATCTTCCCTCTGGGTACTCCCATAGCAGTGAAGGTAACCTGTCCTAAATACCCTGTACTGTCATCTCACTTTCTGTTTCTGCTGTTTCCTTAGGAGACTCTTTCCCTTCCCTACCCACTCAATGTATTTAGAAAGGTCTTATTTATAATCTAACTTAAATGCTACCTCCCAACTATCACAAGTAGAATTAGTGTCTTTACATTTACTATAAATCTTTTCATATATGTTGTATTTTTCAGATTAATATTTATCCCCTCTAAGATTATCTATTCTTTGGAAGGCAGAGATAATGTCACGTTCATTCTTGCTCCCCAAAAGTTATCACATATTGGACACATAATGGTTCAATGATTGACTAAATAGATTTTTATGGTCTGGTTAACCATAGGTCCATATCTAGGATATACCAATGGAGGGAATACTGAATGAAAATGAGCTGTTTAAAATCATCTGCTCGCGTTGGGCGTGGTGGTGCATGTCTGAACTCCCAGGACTCAGGAGGCTAACGCAGGAAGGCTGCTGGGAGTTCAAGACCAGCCTGAGCTACCTAGTGAGTTGAAAGCTAGCCTGACCTGCACAGCTAGACCCTGTCTCAAAAAAAAAAAAAAAAAAAAAAAAAAATCATGCTGCTTTCATGGATCTTCAGAGGGCAGCCACAGAAATTCAAAAAAAGTAAGATTAAGTTTGCTTGATAATAAGAACTAGACAGTTACACACTTTATAACAACATTTGGTCAGGCACTTAGGGCTCTCCACTTAAGGGCATTGAATTTTAATTCTGGAACTTTTAAGTAAGTATAACAATGAGAGGTGACATTAGAAAACATTCTCAATCCTAGTCATACAATTCTCAAATTTCTCAGGAAATGATTTCAAATTTTAAGGAGATTATCAAAACAACGTACACTGGAAAAATTTCTGAGCCTTTTAGAAAACAAGAAATACTATGAATTTAAGTGTAATAAAGGTGTTAAAATTTTAAAAAGCCTGGAAATCACTGATATTGAGCAGTAAATACTACCGGCTTTTGGCTATAAATGGCGTTGGGAGTGAGGCTCTGTACTGTAGGATGACTGTTCCAGCGTTATCCTTTCCTACTACGTCTCAATCCAAATGCAAACCAGAAAAGGATTCATTTTTTCCAGTCTTCCTTATATCATTTGTTTATTAATTCTACTATTACTTATTGAAGACCTGTTATGCACCAGCCATTATTTCAAGAGCTCAGTACACATAGAAGAGATACACAGATATAAGGTTTCTGTTTTCATGGACTTTCAGAGGCAGCCAGACAATAAAATACGAAAACAAGCAAGATTTAGTTTGGCCAGTACCAGTGCTAAGAACTAAACAGTCACTCAGTGAATAACAGCATTTGGTCAGCAATGCATTATACACATATGCTGTGATCCCATAGATTACAACACATTACACTGAGATGAGAAATTCCTATAACCTAATGCCACTGCAGCCATCTGCACACTGTGGCATAACACATCACTCACATGTTTATGAAGATGCTGACAGAAACAAACCTACTGTGCTAGAAAAGCACAGCACATACAATTATGCACAGTACACACTGCTGGATAGTGGCAGCAGTGGTGCTAAATTAGTGGTGCTAATTTATGTATTTTCTATATTTCAATTTTTATCATTACTTTATTTTAAAATTTATTTTATTGACTGTTAGAGAAGGTATAGACACCTAGTATAAAATAACTAGAATAACGATTATAGAGTTTATACTTTTTTTTTTCTTTTTATCGGTACCAGGGATCAAACTCACGACCACCTGCTTGCAAGGCAGGTGCTTATGCCGCTGAGCTAAATCCCCAGCCCCTGATTATAGAGTTTACATAACGTAATACTTCATTAGCTTTTACAATTAAAGATCAATAGTTATTATGTTTTTTTTTTCTATCCCAGACCAAGGAAAGATGACTTCAATTCAGAATAGCAACTTTTTAATTAAATCAGCTAAGACCCTAAAAAAGAGTATTTTCTTCTGTTTAATAAAGCATTGAGAGTAAAATGGGCATTTATCACAGGTTAAGTGACAAGGGAAAAGGTACAACACTTTGATTTTTAGCTGCTGGTTCTCCAAAGTTACAGAAGGACACGATCTACCGAATAAAGACCAAGTAAAATAGTTTCATCTTGTCTTGGAGTTTGAAGAGACCTTTGAGATCATCTAATTCAATTTTTTTTTTTTTTGAGACGTGCGTTGCTATGTTGTTCAGGCTGGCCTAGAACTCTAGGGCTCAAGTGATCCTGCCTCAGTCCCTAGAGATCTGGGACTATAGGCTTGATTACTTCCTTTTTTCTTAACTGAAGTAACAGACCAAAAATCCACTTGCCACAAGCGCCTCTTCCAAAGGGAGATCATTTTTCCATGTAATGATTTCAGCTTTAAAAGAAAACTATGATTGGGGTTGGGGATTTAGCTCAGCTGCATAAGCGCCTGCCTTGCAAGCAGGCAGTTGCGAGTTCGATCCCCGGTACCAATAAAAAAAAAAAAAAATAAATAAATAAAAAAGAAAACTATGATTATTTTTACTTTTCATACATTGTAGCTTATGACAGAACAACTATGTACTGAATCTCACATTTATAAAACTCAGAAAAGCAAAATATATATGGTGCCTCCATCACAGGGCACTATGCATTAACCAAACTTTCAGTTATAGAAGATACAAATGAGTGAACTTTGGAAAGGGGATAACATCTTTGATAATGTCAACTCCCAAGATGAACTGTAGGCAGCAAATTCCATCCCCAAAGCTCCACGTGCCATGGATCCAAATCAGCAAATGTAGCATTGCTGGGCCTAAGTCCTCATCTGGCAAACTGCTACTCAACATATGGTACCGTTCCTTCCTGAGGCTGCCACCAAAAAGCTCCCCAACTTCAGGTACCAGAAGATAACAGCAACTATATGGTGAGGACTACCTTCACTGTCGCTCATGTAGAAAAGCCTGAGTGCCAGTGGGTAACTAGTGACAAAGTGTGGTGTGTTCCACAGAGCTTTACCAGGTACTTCTCATGTTCAGTTTGTAGATCAACCCCCCACTCTGGCATGAAGGTGAAGTTCTGGATGCTTGAAGATCTTCATGGCCTCCATGTAAGAAATGCTCTGGATGCTTGAAGATCTTCATGGCCTCCATGTAAGAAATGCTTGTGGCCACGAGCTGTGAATTTGTGTCAGAGTTCAGCATCTTCCAGACAGTTTCAGAGAACAATCATTGTTGTAGCTTTGGAAAAATCCTCCATAACTTGTGTGAGATCATGAAAGTTCTCAACAAAATTTCTGCTTCTACCATATAAAACAATGCCAAATGTGTCCAGCTCTGAGAATTCTCAGTTCAGAATGTTGGACCAAAAGTAAACACTGGAGTATTCTATGATTTGACTCCAGGCACCTCGTTTTCCTCCATCTTGCAATACATCTAACATGACTTCTAGCTGAAGTTGTCATGAAATGGTTAAGAAAGCAGGAACACTGAAGAAATTCTCTTTAGGTACCTTTATTTTGATGGACGGCTCAATTTGTAAAAGCTCTCCAATCTCCTCACAGTCACCAGATGTAATTACTGGGGTATGAATATGCACAAAACCACTCTCCTTAAAGAAAGAACGAATAGCAGTTGTGGCTCTACCATGAACCCTCAGTACAGATCCCAAAATATTTGTCTTATGTCTAAGGTGAGGGAATTGTTTCAGGAACCCCAGAGGATGCTTCTCTTTATATTTGATAGGGAATGCCTTCACATCACAATTTCCAGTAACTTGTTTTTTCTGCCTTCTGTTCCATATTTTGCTTTTGTATAGACTTTTACCAGCTATCCCTGGATTTCCACCGAACTTTCAAAAGCCAGTTCTCTGTCAAAGCTTGAATCTGCAACAACTTGAAGGCTTTCCAAAGATCACTCACCATTTACACATTGAAACAAGACTTTGTTCTGGGACCTGACTGAACAAATCCATGCATTATCACGCAACAAGGAGGCTGAGACAGAGAATGCACACTTGTATTTATCATTATTTTAGCATATACTCCTACTTACTAAAAAGTTTGCTAATGTATGCTAGCTGACATATATCTCATGTTTTATTTCCATCTCTTGTTTGACTGCATTATTTTCTTGTGCTTGATTTCCTTTTGTGTTTTGTTCATCATGGTTTGAAGAACAAAAATAATACACCTACCCCATAAGGCACAGATATGCAGTAGGCTGTGCCTCCAGATTTGTATAAGTTTATTTTGTGATGACAATATCACCAAACACTGTATTTCTCTGACTGTATTTTTAGGAAACACAATACTATGAGATAAGTAAAAGAAGGGAACTAGGGTAGAGAGTTGTGACTGAGGAGTTCTTTATATGCTGGTTAGGGATAATCTTAGGCAGTACTATTTGAGCTGAGTTCAATGATGAGAAGTGGCAACCAGACAAGATTTAGAAAAACAATTCTAGGCAGAGGCTAGCAAATATAAGGGTGTGCAGTCAGGAAGGAGTCTGGTGCTCATGCAGCCTGAGACACAGCCAGAGTGGCTAATGTGTGCTAAGTGGGTGAGGTGGGGGAACGATTTGACATGAAGCTAGGAAGACTGGCTAGAGCCAGATCAGGATGGACATATAGATCTTATTCATGTAAACATACTGAACAGATTCAGTATGTTTTAGAGTGGGCTCAATAGGACTGGCTGATGGACTGGACAGGGAAGTCAGACAAAGAGAGCTGAGAAAGGAACCTTGCTTTATTTTATACTAAGTAAAAAATTAATGGAAAAGCAGGGCATGGGTGAGAGAAATTAATAAGTATTATACCCAACCAGGTTTGGATATTCTGATACCTATTAAGCCAGAATCCTGCTTAATGTGGGTAGCAAGTTTTATTAGGAAAAGATAGGCAAAATTTTAAAAACTGTGTTAAAAAACCATTTTCCTTTGATAACAATTTTGGAGGTGACTGTAATGCCAATCAGGCAACTGAGACAAAAAAGGTAAGAGGAACTACAAAATTACAGAGGAATTTGCTGAAAATTTACAAAAAGGCAGGTACTGTGCTGACTGTTTTGGGAAAAAAGTATCATCTCATGTAATCTTTGCATTAACTCTACAATATTATCCCTATGATGTAGATAAGGAAACTGAGGCTCATAGAGTCTAAGGGACTAGTGCAAGGTTATAAAGCTCACAAGCAGAAGAGACAAGAATTTAACTCTTGCAGTCTGCTGTCAGACACAGAACTCTTCACCATTATGCTGTGCTTCCTCTAGCATTAACTAAATTCCAATTTTATGCTAAGCAGAGCATTAGAGGTTGGGTAGATACAGTTACCTCAGAGTTGCCACAATTTAAGTGATAGGTTGGAGAAATACAAACCTTATAGGAATAAACAACTTTGCAGGTGAGTGGGTAATTTCTCAAGGTGCCAGAAGGACTTGAACTGCTGTCATCAAAAACATCCATGTTGTCTTCAAACTCTTCTCCTTCTTCTCTCTCGGTATCTGCATTAAGCTAGAAAAAATTAGAAGCCATTGGCTAGTTTGCTTACTTCAAGAAGATGGTTGAAAACAGCAAAAACATTTAAAATATGATTGTTTCAAAATGTCAATTTACCCATTTACTGCATTAGACATGATTACCTGTCCTTATTTTTCACATTATGAAATTTGATATTTAAAAAGTACAGTGTATATGTCTGATGATATAGCCAATTCTATTGAAGATAACAAGAGACAACACAGGAACCATGGTAGAACTCTTTGTATAAAGGTCTTATATGTTTTTTTCATTTCATGTGTTTATAGGAATGTTTTGTTTTGTCTTGCTTTGTTTTGTTTCTCCCTCTAATATAGAAAAGATAGAAATATATGTTAAGACTCTGCACGTGTAGAATCTATAAGCAGTTTATGAGAACTGATCTTACGACACATGATGAAATGAACAGATACTTCGAAGAAAAAGAGACACTAAAATACCCAGTGCTGATCCTGGAGTGTTCTAAGGTGAAACTCAGCAATAGTATTATTCTTTGTTCAGAATGATATTAGCCTGCTTAGGTTTGTTCAATCTCAACATAATTGAAGATATGGTAACTGCATGTATGTTTAAGTGTATAGGATTGATAACCATATTTCTAAGTTTTTGTTGGATAGTTGAACAGAACTGTTTGCAGTCTCGCTGTTTGAATTCTCACTTTATATGTTCCACTTTTGTATCTTGAACAACTATTTGTAAAACGATAATATGTAAACATCAACTAGTGATTTCTTACTGTTTATTTTTTTCTCTGAACATATGTATTATTTCTACCTTTTCCTGTTTTGTTTAGTCTTTCTTTAAATAAAATTTTTAAAAAAGTGTCTTTTCAATACATAAGAAATAATTCCAGTATCCTTTCAGTTTTAACTGTTAAATATTGATACACGCTTTTTTAAATGATCACATTAGGAAACATTAAAAATGTTCTACCAAGAATACAGAGAAACGTTCTACCAAGGCTTTCATTTATGGCTTGCAGAAGTGTTAATTCATACATCACTTTGGGAAAATAACCTCCCTAAAAATAAAATTACTTGATCTAGTAACTCCAGTTTTGTGACTTCATTATGGAGAAATAAAAGGATGTAAGATTATATTCTAAGATGCTTACTGTAACACTGGTTGTAGTAGCAAAAGCCTGTACACAAATTCATCTGTCCATCAACAAGAGAATGTTTTAATGAAATACGCTTTATTCATATTACAGATAAACACCTTTTTTGTTGCTGTTGTGTGTTGTCTTTTGAGATAAGGTCCACTATGTAGCTCAGCCTGGCCTCAAACTCACAGCCGCAGCCTCCCCAGTGCTGGGATTAAAGGCCAAGGCCACCACACCCAGCTCAGATAAATAGTACCCATTAAAAATAAACTAGGAAAGGAAAGCTCAGAAATAAATCCTCACATATATAGTTAAATTATTTTCAACAAGAGTGATATAAATTCAATGCCGTTTTCTTTTTTTTTTTGTCTTTTTTCTTTTTATCGGTACCGGGGATCAAACTCACGACTGCCTGCTTGCAAGGCAGGTGCTTATGCCGCTGAGCTAAATCTCCAGCCCCCTCAATGCTGTTTTCTAATAAAATTCCATAAAATTACAGAGGAAGTTCCAAAAGAATAAACTACACTTTTTTTTTCCAGTCACATTTGTTGCCACTGTTTCTAAGACCTTGAAACATTTTCATTTATAAATATTACTGAAAATTCTTCACAGATGAGTGAGGTAATCTTGTGCCTTATCTTAAACTTGTACAATCAGTCAGGTCAGTGGCAAAATAGGCTCTGATCTTGAGTTTTCATTTGCTTTATTGAGACAGTCTCTCTGTGTAGTCCACATTGGCCTTGCACTTGCTAAGTAGCCCAGTCTAGCCTTGATCTTGTGATTCTCTTGCCTTGGTCTCCCAAGTGTTGAGATTATAGAACTGTGCCACCATGCCTGGAAGATCTCAATTTTTCAACATTTTAAGAGTTAGGAATATATTTTTTCCAACAAACATTTTATCAAATAGAAGATAAGGATCACATTCAGGAACCTGCCACAAAACTAACTTTAAACATATTTTTAATGTACTTACCCTTCTTATTCTAGGAAAGGTTATAGATACTATAAAAATGTGGGTTGAACAAGTTTCCAAACATATAAGGAATGTTAACATGTACTGTATTTTGGCACTGGGAATCAACCAAACATATTATCTTGGTAATACTGGCTAATATTATACATTCCTTTTCCTATTCTGAGTTCATTATTTGACTCTCATGGTAAGGAATGAAAAGTTGCAGTGACAGCAGCAGCGGTTGCTGCCACATGCCTCTGCATTGCTCCAGCAGGTTTCCAAAGCATATCACCTCAGAATAGCTTCTTCTACCTCCCCTTTCCACCCCCTCCACTTGTTACAATGTTTTCTCATCCTAGCATTTTTATAATCATGTTCTTTTACTCTTAACAGTTGCTTTCTCAATCATTTTTCTTCCTGTCTCTTGACAGAACTTCCATCAAAAATGATTCTCTGTAGCTGTACTGATATTTTCCTTCCTTAGAGGTTGTAAAATGCTTACTCTTACTGTAAAAGGAGATAAGAATAATCTTTTGAGTTAGTTTTGCTGAGAAGCCATCTTCTTGTACTCAGCAAGAAAATCCAATGAGCATCATCAGATTTGTGGCGCTGTCACAAAATAGTAGGCAGTGGGCCCTGGGATCTGGCAAACTTAGGTGTGAGTATTGATTATACCATTTACTTGTTGTGTGATCCTGGGCACACTATTTAATGTCTCAACTTCATTTACATTTACAATGTTGAGAATTACTTCATAGGGATATTATAAGAAACAAATAAGGTAATGCCACAGTATATATCTTAATGTTTCCTCCAAAGCCTCAGGTGCTAAGAGGTGGGGCTTGTGGGAGGTGGCTAGATCATGGGTCAGACTAAATTAGAATGCCCATTGACTGGCTTAGCATACTTCTGGGTACAGATAATGGGAAGGCATTACCTGGCTGGCACCAACCAAGACTTGTAGCTTGAATGGAATAAAAAGGGAAAGGAAAGCTTGCTGTTGGCAGCCTCTGTCTGTCCTGTCATTGATTGTTTCTCTTTTTCCATGCCCCATTGCCATGCTGCCCTGCCTTGGAGCCACTGACAGATGACTGAAACCTCTACCAACTGTGAGCTAAAAATAAACTTTTCCTCCTTTAATTCGTGGGTGTAAGGTATTTTGTTTCAGTGACCAGAAAGTAACTAAGACAGGTAGTACAGTTAAAACTTCTAATGCCTGCTTGGTACATAGGAGACTTAACAAATCATTTTATTATTTTTATGAGGCAGAGAGAATCTAGGTAAAGAATTTGGCTAACATCCAAAACAGCAAAAAGCATCAGCCTATAGAATACTGACTAGGAGAACTTCTGAAATCTTTCTGGACAAAGAAATGATCACAGTGAATATTATTCTAAATATGACACAAGTAGTTATAAAAGACAATGTTAAAAATATAAGGAAAATGGATTTCTGCTTCCAAACAATGTGAAACATTGGGGAATACATTTAAACTTTCTGTCAGAAACAATTAAAAAATTGTTCAAAACATATGAAAGAACAGTTTTGAAGGCACTGGACATCAAATAATAGATAGTGCTCTCTGGTGAGAGGAAACAAATAATTTTCTCAACCCACTGCTGGAAAGTTTCTAGGCTGAAACCCAGACAGAGAGGCCCCCTTAAACTAAAGAGGTGGAACTGGAAATTCAGGAAGGGCAGAGGCTGGAGTTTGGAGTGCAGAGTAGGGGGTGGGGGAGAGAGGGAGAGAGGGAAAGAGAGTGTTTGAGGCCTGCCTGAGCTACACAGTGAGACCTTGGCAGAACTGGTGATCGAACACAGGACTTTGTGTATGTTAGCCAAGTGCCCTACCACTGAGCTACAGTTTTGGGTCTTTTTATTTTTCATTTTAAGTCAGGATCTTGCTAGTCTAGGATGGCCTTGAACTTGGCAATTCTCCTGCCTCAGTTTCCTGATTGTGACTCATTTTTTTCCCCTGATATTCAAAGATTAATTCAGGGGCTGGAGACATAGCTAAGCAGCACAATACCTGATTGGCAAGCTGGAGGTTGTGAGTTTGATTCCCAGTTAAAAAAAAAAAGATTATTTCAGACTGGAATATAGATTTAAATATAAAATCTTAAACACTAAAAGGTCTAGAAAAGAACATGGAAAATATTTATGACCTTGAGTTAGGCAAACACTGCTTAGTTACCACACTGGAATTATGACCCATAAAGAACTGAACTTCATCAAAATAAGAAGTTGTGTTACTTGAAAGATACTGTAAAAAAATAGACAAGTCACTGGCTCGGGCAACTTATGTAAATAATATATCTAATAAAATATTTGTAAGTAGGATATAAAATGATCTCTTAAGATTCAATAAAAGAAAGTAATCTAACAAAAAAAAGGTCAAAGGGCTGGGGGTTTAGCTCAGTGGCATAAGTGCCTGCCTTGCAAGCAGGCGGTCGTGAGTTCAATCCCCGGTACCCATAAAAATGAAAAAGACAAAACAACAACAACAACAACAACAACAACAACAACAACAAAAAAAAAAGGTCAAGAGATCTGAACACTTTACCAAACAAGATACAAGGTTGTATATAAACATGAAAAATGTTCCACATAAATATAAACTATAAAAATATACTACCAAATACACATTAGCATCTCTAAACTTAAAAAGATTAACCACACTAAGTGCTGACAAGTTGTAGGACAACCAGGCATAGTACTGATGGAAATGTAAAATGGTACCACTTTGGGGAAACAATTTGTCAATTCCTTAATATGTTAAATATACATATTCACACATCCGTTATCAGATGAAAGGATAAACAATCTGTGCAATAGTTGTACAATGAAATGCTGCTCAGCAATTAAAAGAACTGGCATATCCAACATGGATGATTCTCAAAACAATTATGCTGAGTGAAAA